TTGCTCCGGGTTTTGTTTGAGTATGGAAATAAAAGTAATTTTGACCTAACTGTCTGTCTGGTTTCGCTAGAAGATTTATGAACAATATCAATGTCACTCATATTAGGTTAATTGTGCGACATCCAAGATTAAAACATCTAGTAATTCGATAACATTTTTTTAGCTAAACAAGTTGTAATAATCAAGGTTTGGATAAATAAAAATTAATCTCTGTCTAACTAAATCTAAACCATTTCGCCATCAATTGATCTTTATTTCGTCTCTTTGCTACGTATTTTAATGTAGTTAAAAACTACCCCATAAAGTCCTTTGAATATATATATATATATATATATATTGTATTACTTATCACAAATTGAGAATATTAAAGTTCTAGGAATCTTTTTGCAGCTTCTTTAATTTACTTGTTCTCGAAAGGCTTTCCTGCTGTAGGAGTTGGATAGATAGAATCAGACGGGAAAAAAATAAAAATTTTCTAGTCAGGCTTGAGCACAACATCTAAACTTGACCTAATAGCCTATAGATATGGGCCAGTTTACCTACTGATTAATCAAATGATATAGCGTTCATCGACTTGCTTCATTACCAATGATCTTAGCCAGGTGTGCAAGTTTTCACTTTCCATAATTCAAGACAAGGATTCTGTCTGGTCCGACTGACAGTGGCCTCGATCTTAACATTTGGGTCCTAAATAGAGAAGGGCTAACTGGGCAAGGCCTGTTGAAGTTGGGCTTTATAGGTGCATGGTCACAATGGGCTCGATAATTTTTCTTAACAAAAATTTGGTGCAAATAAGCATATAGAAAATGACGTAAAATTTTCATGTATTATTTTTAGGTAAATATGTACATATAATGCTACGGCCCATACTTTTAAGTCAAAAGATATTTATAAAATATATAACATTTTACTTCACTTAATTGTATAATAAAAACTCGTTGCATTAACTCTTTTTATTTATAAAAAATAAAAACCCATTTAGATATGAGCCTATCTCGACCTTAATATCTCTCATGAAAATCTTATAGTCATAAAGAATTGAGTAACCTTTTATACTACTTCTTACAAGTTAACGCTTTTAATAAAAATAAATACCTATTAAATGACGGCCAAGATACCTTTCATATGAAATACGTAAAATATATTATTTTTAGTCCTATTTAGACAAGCTTTATTTGACTCATAAACTGATTAACTCTCTTGCTTAGTTTTGTCTTCCCAATGTGAACGCTAAAGAGAGAAGGAAAAATCCAGTTAGCTCATTAGATTGAATGAAATGTTTGCTTATTGGCCGACGTTTTTATCCTTTCAAGCAATTGATTGCTTGACAGGCTGGTCCCTTTGCTTGAAGCTTTAACAAAATCAAAGAGGTTTTTAGATCCTCCTCCACTTCTCAAATACCAAATCAAATTAGTAAATTTGAAAGAATTAAACCTACGAGGACAAGACGTTGCTTCTATACAAAAGAGTTAAAAATCCAGAAAGCCTAGTGGAATACCACCTGATTAAACCTTATTTACTGGGACATTTCTTTTCGTTTTAAAGACTTATTTTCCATTGCACAAGAGGCCTTTGTTTGGGAAAGAAACGGAAAAGAATTTGAGAAAACGATACTGGGCCCTTGGCCTAAAGTTGAAACAAACGAGAAATGGCCTTACTTCAGGGTATGAAGATATCCGACCAAAATCAAGTCACCAATCCCTTGACAAGTTCTAAATTACTAAGAATAGATAATCCTATCTTAAAGCAGGGATAATGCTGAAAACAATGTCAGGTAATTATCAGATTAAGTAATAAACCAGGCACATAATAGAAAAACTGATTATTTACACTTTGCACTAAGCGGGATTTGGCGATTTTCATCCACCCCGAAGGGTACATCATGAATTCCCCATTGATCTCAAGTTATAACGTGCAAGCGATGGCTCTATTTATTTCCTTCTTTTTTGCAAATAGAGCTTGAAAGGAAAAACCAAGTTAGCAGCTTTAAAGTGCAGAGAGAGTAGCCTCTAAAACAAGCATTAAAAAAATATGATAAAAATGGGATAGTTCCCCCATAGAAGAAGACAGCCAGTTCACATGTATTGCGTCTCAGCAAAGCAAGTGACGTATGCTGATTTGGCTTAAGCAACAGAGTTCTCGCTGGAAAGCAGACTTACTCGTTAAAGTTGGTTAACTAAAAGCCCACAACATCTCTCTTTCTGGGTACAATGTCTTGCAAGCTTGGTTTCCATAACGGCCAATTAAGAATGCATGGACATTAGCCACTCTTCCTAACTTTATCCAAGTAAAATTTTTGGAACTAACCGACATGGAACCGAAACTCCCATTCTGGAATGGTGGAAGACTGTTTTCTCTATATTTTGGTTTCTGTTCCTTGCAAGGCATCACTTCGTTCTCTTCCTTCCCTCCCTTTACCTCCACTCAAAAATACGTCTATTTGCACATCTATAAAGACAGTTGCTCGGCACAATCCCTCTCAATGTCAGCCAAAGTGAGGTCAACACAACAGGGAACGAGAATTAAGAAGACTTCAGTTATGGAGGTTAAGATCCAAGGTGAAAAGTCTCATGAACATGGTGAACAAAAAGTACCCCTGCTGAAAAGTTTGCCCGTTTCTGAAACCGAGAAGAAAAATCTCCTACAGATGGCAATCAGTCAAACGTTTCAAAGCACAGCACATTTGGCTAATCTATTACCCACCGGAACTGTTCTAGCTTTCCAAATTCTCTCGCCCATATTCACCAATCAGGGCAACTGTGACTCAGTCAGTCGGTCTATGACGGCTGGCCTCGTTGTGCTTTGTGGTTTATCATGTTTCCTGATGAGCTTCACAGATAGTTTCAGAGACAAGAATGGCACTGTCTGTTATGGCTTTGCCACATTTTATGGGTTGTGGGTCATTGATGGTTCAATCACTCTTCCACCGGAGTTAGCTGCAAAATACCGCCTACGTTTTATAGATTTCATGCATGCCTTCATGTCAATACTAGTATTTGCAGCTGTGGTACTTTTTGATCAGAATGTTGTAAGTTGCTTTTACCCAACACCATCAGATCAGGGTCAGGAAATCCTCACAGCATTGCCAGTTGGGATAGGTGTCTTCTGCAGCATGTTATTTGTTGTCTTCCCTACCACACGTCATGGAATTGGTTTCCCCCTGTCTGCAAATTAACATTTTCCACTTTCGGTATGAGATACAAATACGCGTTTCCAAAGTGATAAAACTTTTCTAATACTAATGTGCTTGTCATCCTTTAGTCCTGATCTCTTCTATAGTGCAGACAATGATACAGTTTCTTGTTATATCACTATAATCTTAGTCGGATTTAACCTTTTTAAGCATTTGAAGGTCAAGTTGCTAAACAAACTAGAATTCCGTTAGAATGACCCCTGCATTAGTTCCCAGTAAGGAAAGTAACACAGCAACAAACATAATACATGGTTCAGAATTCAGAGGCATCAGTTGCATAAAGCTCAAAAACCTGTAAATAAACAAGAAAATTAAATGAAGTGAAAACTGAATAGCAGAAAAGAGTAGCTACATTTTGTCACTGTAGGAAAAGAGAAAATAAATGATTTATTGTATAAGTAACCCAAGTTACAGAAAGGAGATACATGTTAAGTGAAGTAATCAATTCAGATTGAAGTAAGGCTTAATCAGAAATATGCATATAATTAGATTACCAGAAGTATAAAGCCAATAGGTGCATACCAAATCACAAGGCTTCAGCTTGAATTTCTAAGTCAGGTGCAGTAAAGTCCCTCATCAGCTCGACCTCAAACAATTCAACAGTTTCTTGGACCATCCTTTGATCCCAAAATGCACTGACCAACGTACCCCATGCTCCCTCTTCTGGAATACATCCATCAATCAACATTTCATCAACAATTCGAGCAGCTTTTTGCAAGTCTCCTTTCTCACAGAAAGATTTCATAAGAGTCTCAAAAGTCCCAGCCTCAACTGAGATGCCCCTAGTCCTCATGCTTAGATACAATAGGAAAGCTCGACTCAAATCACTCTTGGTACAAAGGCCTCTGACCACCATATTATAAATCCTAACATGAAGACTCCAAGTTAATCGGTTTGGCAAGGTCCTGCCTAAGACCATCTCATCAAGGAAGTTTGCAGCCTTCGTAAACTTGTCAACATCGCAGAACCCACTTATGACCTTCCCAAACAACCCTGCATCTGGTTGCAAGCCTTGAAGTTTCATCCTGTCAAGAATCTCCACAGCTTCTTGAAGCTTTCCTTCTTTACATAGTCCATGAATTAAGGTACTATAAGTTATCGTGTTCGGTCTACAACATTTGCTAACCATTGTCTCCAGTAGTTCCATGGCTTCTGAAGAACGCCCATCCTTGCAGAGACCATCCATTAAAGAACTGTAAGTAAAAACATTTGGCTTAATACTATTGCTTTTCATCTCTTCAAGCAATCCCATAGCTTCATTTATATTCTTTGACTGACACAAGCCATGTATCAAGGAGGAATACGTAACAACAGAAGGAGAACAATCTCTTGTTTTCATCTCTTGAAATAGCTCCTTTGCTTCAGTAATCTTTCCAAATCTACACAACCCATTAATCAAAGTCCCATAAGTATAGAAGTCTGGAGGACATCCACGATTAGGCATCTCACGAAATATATGAAGAGCAGAATCCATGGTTCCACTGTTCTTGCAGAGTGCTTTGATCAAAATATTGAGAGAGGCAACACTAGCTTGAATACCTACTTCTCTCATATGCCTGTAAAACCTGAAAGCAATCTTTAACTGGTTCTCTTCAACGAGAATATCAAACACAGTAATATAAGATCTTTGACTAGGTTCAGATCCGAATTCCTTCATCTTATCAAAGACCCTGATGGCATCCAACGGTCTATGAACCCTTCCATAGCCTCTACAGATAGAAAGGAATATAGCTTCCCTTATATCACACTTTTCCACCTTCATTCTATCAAGAAGATCTTCAGCTGGTCCAAATTTGTTCGCTGAAACTAATCTAGAGATCATAACACCAAAAGTGCTGTGATCATGACAAAAACCATTGGCATACTCGGCTGTTGCAGAATCAAATATAGCAAGAGCCTCGTCTATATTCTTCTCAGCTTTTATTAAGTGCACCACTTGGGAAGGAGTGATTTTTTTCGACCATTTAAACGCAACCCTAGTACCCATCATTGCTAATTCTCTATGTTAACAGTACACTGCCCCAAATACGAATAACGCCATCATTACTTAACAAACTTCAATGCTAATTCGCAGCTCATACACAAACCTACACGACATTCAGATTCAGAACTTAAAAAAAAAAGATCCATATTATTCAAATTGAAACTAAATTACGAATACATCAACAGCAAGTTTCGTTATCTTCCAATATACTCAAATGATTGGCTCTAAAATTCATCAAACAAGTGAAAAAAGAGAACCAAACAATACATAGGAAATGTTATACGCGACTATATGACCTGTTTATGCATTAGACCGCTAGCTTGAGCAATTTATCGAACACTTGGTGGGTGGAAACTAGAAGATTGATTGGCCTAACAACCGAAGCATATGAAACCAACATGCTGACGAATTTACGGGAAAAGAAAACGGAAGTAGAAACGTTTTCAAAAGCAGTTTCAAGAGAACGAAGCAGCTTACATTTAGAAAATCGAACAGCTGTTGCAGTTCGTCCTTTGCGATGAGCTACGTTTTTGCACCGTCCCGCATAAGCTAGCCTTAGTGCCTGATGCTGACCAAAGGTGGCCCATTCAGGGTCCCAAAACCAAAGCAGCAGCATTTCCTAAGCCGGGAAAAGAAAGACCAACTCGTTGTGCCTCGGTTGGGCCTAGTTTCCATATCCAACCCAAGATGCCGAGTCAGCTTGTTAATTGTCAGTATCAATTTTTTTATGATCGAGTAGAGGATAATGATCTCGTAACATGATGAGAATGAAACACATATCTTTAAATATAAATTATCATTATCACATATTTTGATCTTAATATCGATTAAGTGTATGATACGAGATATCTAGGCTAAAATCTGAACTCCAACATCTCTTCCAAATGGGTCTTTTTTGGCTGAAGTTAACGTTCCTCTCCAACAATTAATGGAGACAAAAGTTCAGAGATTTTTGGAGCTTCGTAAGAGGAAAACACCAAAGAGACAAACATGAAGCTGAGTTGAAAGAGGTGTCTTATACACGTGTCAAAACTATAATCTCAACTCAAAAGGAAAGATACATACAACAACCTCCCATGTTTGCTCACTCCTTTAAACGGGTCGCTGCCTCACGGATTTCAATCTTTTCCTTTTAACGCTATTAACAAACCATATGCTGTATGCGTTAAGGGACATAATTGAGTCAACTCGATTTTGTAGCAGGTTCAAGCTCAACTCGATTAAAAAATGCCAGATTTAAAAATATAAAAAAATAAATATTAATCTTATTTATATATATATGCATTTGATATTAAAAAAATATAAAAACTCGATAACATTCAAAATTGAATCGTGATCTGAGTAGGTTGAGTTGGGAGTGGACCCGATCGAGTTTGAGTATTAATGATTGACTCGTTTAGAAGCCTATGCACTGCGAAAAACATTCACGTAAAATGATATCTTGGTGACAATTGTTTTTCACAAGAGGAGGAGATTGGAGACGATAAGGATTTTGGAAATATAAACGCAGAGACCACTGACGATTGGACAAGGCATCCCTTCCTTCACGAGCCTTTCACCGGGGATAAGATGGCCCCACCTCTTAGCTCTCTCCTTCCCACAATATCCTCCACAGCCACAATTAATCTCTCCACTCGATAACACCCAAGCATATCCCATCGTCAATATTCCTTTTTTTTTTCAGCGGATTGTTTCTCCACCGTTGATTAATAATCCCCTCGGTTTCTGAGTTTTTGGCTACGTGATCAAGTTAGAGTGCGCAATTTTGTATTCTGTCTCGCGTTGCAGGGGGTGAAAACGACGTGATTATTTGAGAATCGAGGGCCACTAAAATAGGAATTTTATTAATTATTCTGAAAAAAAACGAAAAAGGGGAAAATCTGTTAATTCCCTCCATCCATTAAGAGCTCACTCTAGCAACCATACGTACATTTCGTTCTGTCTCGCTCTCTCACAATGGAGTCGCGATTGTTGTCACGCGCTTCGACCATCACTGGCTTGCCTCTGCTCTGGCCGAGGCTTTCACGGGAGAGTGTCAACGTGTCATTTGCTTCGGCTAAGCCGATCGGAGCCGTTGGAGGAGGCGGGAACTTGATATGGGGAAGGCAGCTTAGGCCGGCTCTGCTACTCGAGAGCTCGTCGGTTAGTAAGCGAGAGATTTTGAAGCCGGTTTTAGCCGCCGCGTCGTCACCTGCCGAAGGAGGAAGCGATTCCTCGGGGTGAGGTCCGTTTCCTCCGTTCTGACTCAGTCAACTCGTCCACGCTTCAGTCTCTGACTCACTGACTCGGTGTTATTGCAGGGACGCAAAGATCGCTCCGGTTGGCTTCTTCCAGAAGTATCCGGCTCTGGTCACCGGCTTTTTCTTCTTCATGTGGTATGTACAAAAACCGGTTAACGATTTTAACCGTCAAATGTGCGATGGTTCAAACGGTAGCTAAAATTCGTTCTCGACAAGATTACTTCCGTTTGTTGAAATTACAAGACCATCCTTTGGGTTTTTTTTTTTGTTTTATGCAGGTACTTCTTAAATGTGATATTTAACATTCTCAACAAGAAGATCTACAATTACTTCCCTTATCCTTAGTGAGTAATTGCAAATATCTTTTTACATTTTTTATTTTTTAAATGTTTTTTTTTTCATGGTATGGTTTCATGAATACTTAGCTTTGTTTTAAGTTTTTTTCCTGGCATTTTTTGGCGCAGTTTTGTGTCGGTTATTCACTTGTTCGTTGGGGTAGTTTACTGTTTGGTGAGCTGGGCCGTGGGCCTCCCTAAGCGGGCTGTAAGTGAACCTTCAAAACCCACCCTCTCAATGTTTCTCTTGGCAGTTGTTATCCAACTTTTTATTATTATTATTATTCTTTACGTTCTGCACATGCTAACTTTATTGCCTGTAGCATGAATCTTATTAAAGTGCATATTGCGTAAGAAACCCGGGTTAATGTTGGAAAGTGGGGTTATCCAGTCCAGTCACTAACAATTCCTGATCACATTTTGAGTTTTCTCCTCTTTTTAATCTTTTAAGCTTGACTGTGGATTGGCTAGGATCCTCACTGTTGGAAAATTGGAACATGCCGTAAATTTTAACCTGCTTTCTTTTGATGAAAACCTGAGAATTTTTGGAGCTATTGTGCACTGATAGTATCATGTAATTATTGTTTTCATGAGCAGCCTATGGACTCAAACCTGCTGAAGTTGTTGATCCCTGTTGCTGTATGCCATGCGGTAGGCCATGTAACTAGCAATGTCTCTTTTGCTGCTGTTGCTGTCTCTTTCACCCACACAATCAAAGGTGACATCATGAATCTATTCTCTTGCGCTTATATATATATTTAGTGGAATGTGACTTTGTATATGCATTTGACATCCTGTCAACAGGACAATTCACTGTGATTAATCTGGCTCATTAAGTCAAAACTTGTTTGCTTTTCAGCTCTGGAGCCCTTCTTCAATGCTGCTGCTTCCCAATTCGTACTTGGACAATCCATACCATTTAGTCTATGGCTGTCTCTTGCTCCTGTTGTTATTGGTAATTTTCTGTTTGATCACCTTATTCAAATCAGTTTAAGTGTAAATATATTCTTTTAATGGGGCTTTGTTATTATGTTGGCATATTAACGTTCCATCATGTTTGGGACTTTGGGTGTCATTTTAACTACAAACTGAATGCAGGTGTTTCCATGGCATCACTGACTGAGTTGTCATTCAATTGGACGGGTTTCATTAGCGCAATGATTTCCAACATCTCCTTCACTTACAGGAGCATCTATTCCAAGAAAGCTATGGTGATTTTCTTTGACACTCTTGCTTTCTTTTCAATAGAATCAAACAGAACTCCTCCTTTCCTCTTCTTCTTTCCTTCTTTTTGTTTTCCAGTTTATGCAGAACTCGAATTTTTATTTTTGACCTTTTTCCCTCATAAACATTTTATAACAGTGATTGTTGGTTTTTCATATGCAGACCGATATGGACAGTACAAATATCTATGCTTATATTTCCATCATTGCTCTCTTCGTCTGTATTCCCCCAGCCATCATTGTGAGTCAAATATGTTTTGAGGACAACTGAAGATTTTTAGACAATTAAAAAATTTAAGCACACGGTCTCTTAAACCCTTTCATGTTTTCCACCTGCCTGTTGCAGCTCGAGGGTCCCCAGCTGATCAAGCATGGGTTCGGTGATGCTGTAGCTAAAGTGGGTATGACTAAATTCATCTCAGATCTCTTTTGGGTTGGAATGTTTTACCATCTCTATAATCAGGTACATCATCTCCATTCCTATTATCGACTGATGCTACATCTAAATAAAATGATGCCTCATACCATTATACTGAAAGCTGATGAAGAAATTTTTTTCATTTTTGGTATTTAGTTGGCTACCAACACTCTGGAGCGGGTTGTACCACTTACCCACGCTGTCGGCAATGTGCTGAAACGGGTGTTTGTCATTGGCTTCTCAATCCTGGTCTTCGGTAAGTTTATAACTTATACTCCTTTGAAGTATTCTTTTGCTTCTTTGTGTCAGGATATAACTCTTTTGGACTGAGTTTCTGACGACCTACTTCTCACAGGAAACAAGATTTCAACGCAGACAGGTATAGGAACAGTCATAGCAATTGCTGGAGTGGCAATCTACTCTTTCATCAAGGCCAGGATGGAAGAAGAGAAACGAGTAAGTAAAACATTCTGACAACAACACGCATTACATCAATTTGATTGCTCTCATAATTGTCCTCTAACTTAGAATTGAACTGACCTGGTCATGCAAAATCTTATGTGAGCCCAAATCCTTTTTATCGTTTAACCGGAGTGAATCTATAAAACTATTGAAAATAGGCTACCCTTTCTTATGAATATGTGATGGGTAGAGGAAGGGTGAGGATTGCATCTTACATACTGATCTAGTGTTGTCATAGCTGCAGTAATTATCATAATTTTCCTGTAATCATTCAAGAAGTGACAGAAAGAATAGTTGTAATCTAAAATAATGCGAATGGGGTCTCTTTTGCAGCAAATGAAAGCAGCATGAGAATAAAAAAAAGGCATGGAAATGGAGGAAGTCACGGGTCTAAAGTTATATGTCTCTCCTCCGGGAGATAAAACAAGAGACATTGAATATCCTACTGTTATTGTGAAGTTTTTTTTTTTTTTTTTGCTTTTTCCGCCATCAATTTTCTTTAATTCAGAGTACAAACCATTGCTAATCTTCCATCAGCCTGTGTTGACTGAAGAATAATGTACTGTCACTTATTCTGTCTCTCAAACCAAGCTTTTATCTCATCAGAAGCTTTTGAAAGGAAGCTTGAACAGAATACGTGCAAAAAATAAAAGATATGTGAATAGTATTTATTCTCGCATGCAATATGTTTTAAATTTTAAACTTTTATGGCAAAACTGACAAATAATTAGGAAGGAGACAACATGTGATCATGCAGATTATGAGGAGGGATTTGCATGGTGAAAATGCAGAGAGCATACTATGATTAATTTGAAACATACATCGATCTGTTGATGTTTTTGTTTGTTATGATTGGGAACCACCATCGATCATCATGGTCATGGCATGCAGAAGATCTTGAAGGGTTTTATAGCACATGAGATGTTTGATATGAACACGAGTCACGCCAAAGAGGCAAACACTGCAAACTGTGTTTGACCTATGCCAAGGCCAATGCACAGCATTGAACAATTGCGAACAAGCCAAAATGATTTCAGATCGCTTCCTATAATTTAATTAACTCTATGTATTAGAAAGCATGAATGTGCTTGAATATGTTATTAAATGAAAAGGAATAGGGATATCAATGAGTGTATTTTGTAGTGTTTGGCTCCATTAAGGAAGATTAAGATGCTTATTACCAAGCTTGATTATCAATAATAATTTTTAATACTAAAATTTTAATTATATATTATCTTTTATAATTAATGTAATACTTATTAAAACTCATTAATTATTCTGAATATGATTTTTAATTTTAATGTATTGTTTTGAATTAACTTTAATTTATTTTTTATTAATAATATACATAAAAATTGATTTTAAATTGATTTTAATAAAATATTTAATAAGTATAGGTATTTAACCAATAATATCAAGAATATCAAGATACGAGTTCAAATAGTAATTTAAAAATTTAATTAGATATTTATAAAATTTAAATACTTTATTAAATAATAAGATTCGAATTAAAATATTTAAGACTTTTTTTCCTCTTTCATTGATGCAGAAGGACAGAAAAGAACCAAATTCCCATAAATAAATCAATCTAAAATCTGGACCACCTTTAGCCCGAAATTCATTAATGGGCTCAAGATGATCCGTCCAGCCCAATATGTGGGAAAAGGCCGGGCCCACAACAACAAACACAAACCAAAATCCTTGGATAGGCTACAACTCGATTGCCGAACCAAAGAGATCACCCTACAGGCTGGCTCAGAGCCTCAAAACCACGAACATAGAACTCTTCGGCAAAACGTCAAGAGCCATTAGCTAACTCATTTAAAAAAAACAAGAAGATAAAAATATCAAAATAATAAATAAATAAATAAAAGACAGAAAAAAAAAACGGGAAAAAGAAAACCAAAAAGGCTGCACTTGAATCAAGATAAATAACGCTCAGGGAACAGTGAAAAAGAATTGGTCCCCTGTTAGAACGTACAGATTTTTTAGCAAAAAAAAAAAAGAAAGAGAAAATTCATTTTAATTTTATTTTATTTTTGAAAAAAGGCCATTGACAATATTAACACATGGTTTTGACACGAACAAACGCATCATTCAATAAAAACAAAAGAAAAACAAAACCAAAAAGGCAAAAAAGAATAAAAGGATTAATTAGTCAGTACACCCAAAAAAAAGGAAAAAAAATTTTTATTATGGAATTTGTAATTGGACTCAGGAAAGAATACTATCGTTGTTGTTATTACTCTGTTCCTAATTTCACCTTTGCCTTTTCCTATTTTCCTTTTGTTTTTCTTTTGTTATTATCATTATTATTATTCTTTCTTCTCGATCCCTTATTTATTTTTTTAGGTCTTTCTTCTAATTCATTGTTCTTCTTCGATAATAATTCTCATCCTTTCTTTTTCTTGACTTTTACGGTAGAGAGGAAGAGGGGAAAAGAAAAAGGAGAAGAAGAGAGAATAGCTTTTTCTGAAACCCTAAAGTTTCCTCCTTGATTTCTCGATCTCCTCCAATGGAGCCTGGTTCAGAGGAAGAAAATAATCCCAGCAAAAATCCGAATAAAAACGTTAATAGTTCCAATGAAGGTCACGTTAAGCCTAAACGACAGATGAAGACTCCGTATCAACTCGAAGCTCTCGAGAAAGCCTATGCTCGTATGTTTATTGTTCATCTCTCTCTGTCTTCCCCCCCCCCCCCCCCCCCCCCCCCTCTTAATTTGTTTCGAAGTTTTTAATTTCGTTTTTATTTATTTTTTGTGAAATTTCTGTTGATTTTTCGTTTTTTTTTTTCAGTTGAGACGTATCCATCGGAAGCGACGCGAGCGGGACTATCGGAGAAGCTAGGGTTATCAGATCGGCAGTTACAGATGTGGTTTTGTCACCGGAGATTGAAAGAAAAGAAAGAAACTCCTTCGAAAAAACCGCGAAAAGGCGCCGCGTTACCACCGGAATCTCCAATCGATGATTTACGGGCCGGGCCGGAGCCCGATTACGGGTCCGGGTCCGGGTCCGGTTCGGGATCCAGCCCATATACGGATTCAAGGAAGTTGGGGGGAAGTTCTTCTCGGGGCATGACGGAGGATCTGCCAATGGCGAGGAGGTATTACGAATCGCATCAGTCAATAATGGAGCTGAGAGCAATTGCTTGCGTGGAGGCGCAGTTGGGGGAGCCGTTGAGGGATGATGGGCCTATGCTCGGAATGGAGTTTGATCCATTGCCTCCCGATGCATTTGGAGGTATAACTAACTTGTTTTTCTGTTAGTTGAACGTTGATGGCTTTGTTGTTTTATAGTATTTATATTTTCACGAAATGTAGGCTATATTTCTTCTGTATTGTTCATGGATTTATAAATTTACTTTTTATTGTTTAGTGTAGTTTTTGTAGTAGGCCTTGTAGGTGGACATGTATGGCTTTTAATCTAATATCATATTTATCTTTCGTGAATAGCTATTCCGGAGCCACAGAAGAGGTCTGGACATCCTTACGAGAGCAAAGCATATGAGCGACATGATGGCCGGTCAAGCAAAGTTGGTTTCTTGAACTCCATTTACATTTAACTGCCAGTATATTTAGAATGCTTTGTGTGGTTGAAGAAATTGTGATATTGTAACAATTTCTTCGTGGGGTCGGATGAATTTTCCATTTGTTTTCCCCTATTATTTGACATTAAATTTATCGACAATGTTAGATACTGCTGAACGCTTTTGCTTTTGGAATACTAGATTTTCCTTTATTGTGTATGTTTATTTGGGAAAGGTTTAAGTGGTTCTAAAATGTTGCCCCTTTGTTGCACTGGCTGCTATGTAGTTGGTTTGGCAGTCAAGGAAGTTTAATTTGCATACCATGCAGGGATGATTATCTTTAAGTTTTTGCTCTTTGAGCTGGAAGTTATGGTTTATTTAAAATGTTTATTTGTTCTTGTTGTCTGATGGGAATGAAAATTATATACATAGTTTATATGGGTTGACTTATCATGTGCATTATAATCCCAGGCTGTTGCGAGGGCTTTCCATGAGTATCAGTTTCTCCCAGAGCATGCGAGTCTTAGATCTGATGCATATGGGCAAGTTACTCAGTCTCATTTTCATGAATCCCCAGTCGATGGTGCAAGGGCTAGAGCTACATCATTTGTACATGGAGAGGAACCATTGCCCAGAGTTCATGGTATCCAAGGTCATGGATCACGAGTTCGTGTTTTACCTCAACCAGACAAGACAGGAATTATTCCTACATCATCTCAAGTGGCTGATGATTCTCTTGCAGAAAGGGAGTCATTCACAAATGGCAGATTAAATACTCAGTCTATTGGCCATCCAGTTTTGGGATCTGAAGATTCATATGTGTTGTCTACTGGGCAAACCTTGAATATTGATGCCGATCTACGAAACGATAGGAAGCGCAAGGTACCTATCGCAGGCATCGTAGATTTTGTATTAAATATTATCTATTTCCTTCCATGATTTCTGATTTTATATCATCTTTCTTCTTGTAGAGTGATGAAAATAGAATTGCAAGGGAAGTTGAAGCACATGAGAACAGGATTCGTAAAGAGCTTGAGAAACTTGATTTAAAGAGGAGAAAGGTTTTCTGATTTTTATTTACCATGAATTTGTTTCCTTGAGGAGTCCTCTTTATTCACCCATTATGAAAATTGTCTTTCTCAGAGTGAAGAAAGAATGAAGAAAGAAATGGAAAGGCATGCACGTGAAAGAAGGAAGGAAGAAGAGAGGTTGATGCGTGAGAAGCAGCGAGAAGAAGAGAGATCGCAGCGTGAGCAAAGACGTGAAATCGAAAGAAGGGAAAAGTTTTTGCAGAAAGAATATTTAAGAGTAAGTTTGAGAACCTATTAACCTGAGTTATTTTGCAGATAATATTTAAATGATGAAAACTTTTTCTCTCTCTCTCTCTCTCTCAATCTTCTAGTTATTGGTTTTAATTTTGGGGTTCACTTTATAGGCTGAGAAAAGGAGACAAAAGGAAGAGCTTCGCAGAGAGAAAGAGGCAGAGCGACGCAGAGTTGCCATGGAGAAGGCAACTGCACGGAAAATTGCTAAAGAATCCATGGATCTTATTGAAGATGAACAGCTAGAACTCATGGAGTTGGCTGCTGCAAACAAGGGAATACCCTCCATTATTCAACTTGATCATGATAGTTTGCAAAATCTTGAGTCATTTAGAGGTAAATATCACTTGTCATTTGTATTTGTTTGATTGGCTTTATTTAATTTATACTTTGATTGGTGAGTATTTTGAATAAGAGACATACTTTAAACTTCTGACGTTAGTTTTTTTGAAAATTATAGACTGACTGAAAATGGTTGCATAGCTAAAAACCCTAAATTTCTGCTGTGAGTTTTTTGGAAAATTATAGACTCTGACTGAAAATGGTTCCCTAGTTATTGAGTATGTTTAAGGCACCTGCATCACAATTGCAAATAATATATTTTTAGATCCTCTTGAGCTTTTCTTTTATTTCCTTTCTCCTCAAAATTCAAACATTGGGCTGAAAATACTGGATGCAACTAACATAATTAATGTTTTCAACGTGGTTTGTTGGCATAATTTTATGTTCTATTTAATGAATAGTTAGATTTTTCACTTTGATTTACAGAAAGATTGTTTTATGTTTCTGTGTATTGTTTGCATTTTATTTTTTAATTGTTGTTTGATTTTTCATATTTTGATGGGTCCTGTTTTTTGCTATCTATTTTGACTCTTTAGCATCTTTTAGCTGATAATATCACTAATATTTCTGTTTTAGATTCTTTAAGCCTGTTTCCCCCCAAGTCTGTGCAATTGAAAAGACCATTTGCCATTCAACCGTGGATTGATTCAGAGGAGAATGTTGGGAATCTTCTCATGGTATGACTTACTGATAAATTTTTTCTCTACTTTAAGTTACAAGTCTAATGATCTTTCTTATTCTTTTTATACCGCTGGAGTTTAATTCAAATATGGTTTAGGGTAATAGTATAAATATACTACCTCCTATTCCTTAAGGTAAATGTCTGAATAACATGGTTCCCTTTCTCAGGCATGGAGATTTTTGATTACTTTTGCTGATATTCTCAGACTATGGCCTTTTACTCTTGATGAGTTTGTCCAAGGTTTTCATGACTATGTGAGTTTCAAATGGGATATTTTCTTTTCTATGTCACTTTTTATTCAGCTTTTGGTTTTGTGATATTCTTGCCTTTTGCTGTCAGGATTCAAGGTTGCTGGGTGAGATTCATGTTGCTCTTTTGAAATCAATAATAAAAGACATTGAAGATGTTGCACGAACACCGTCGACTGGATTAGGGATGAATCAGTATTGTGCTGCTAACCCTGAAGGTGGACACCCTCAGATTGTTGAAGGGGTAAGTGGTGTTGTGTGATAGGTTTGTCATAGTGCTTTTTTTTCATTATTGCTGAGTCCCTTTGCTTTTGGTGTTTGCTAGGCATATTCCTGGGGTTTTGACATCCGCAATTGGCAGCGTCACTTGAATCCATTAACATGGTCTGAAATTTTCCGGCAATTAGCAATATCTGCAGGACTTGGACCACAGTTGAAGAAAAGAAATGCTGCATGGACATTCATGGGTGATAATGATGAGGTTTGTGTAACATTATGGCGCTTATCGATTACCGTATAATAATAGTTCTCTCTTCCATAAGAATATTTAATGTGTGTGCGTGCATGTGTATGTGTAATAATGGGAATGCTGTAAGGCTTTATATGATGCTGGGAACTCCTCTCTTTAGAATAAGTAAGTCCTTGATTGATTCCTGACAAATCTCACTTCTGATGGTTAAGATGGTGGAGGTAAAAGAGTACTACTTAGTGATACAATAGCCTATTAGATCTGTTTTGTTATATTTCTGGCACCATTCTTTTATATGAATCTGAATCGCTTTGTTGCAGATCAATGATATCTTCTATCAGCTTTGTATCAGGACTTATTGATGTACAATATGTTGACACACTAATATATTGCCTTATTGTAATAGATTATAGTTCCCTGATTATTTTGCTAAGCTTGATTGTGCTTGGGCACCATCAAATGTTTAAGTTGGGTAAATTTTATGCTTTATGTGTTAGCATTTTTAAATAGTTATTTGATTCAGTGATTTGGTACCATCAGATGTTAAACCACAGATTGTTATTGGCTTATTGTCTTACATTATCATTTTATCTGTACCTGCAGGGTAAAGGTTGTGAAGATGCAGTTTCTACTCTACGCAATGGTTCAGCAGCTGAGAATGCATTTGCATTGATGCGAGAAAAAGGTCTGTTACTTCCACGGAGATCGAGGCATCGTTTGACGCCTGGAACTGTCAAATTTGCAGCTTTTCATGTTCTTTCACTTGAGGGAAGCAAAGGATTAACAGTATTAGAACTTGCAGATAAGATTCAGGTGAGTTTGGATTGTGTTCCTATTAGATGTTAAATTAGTTTGTATCTTTTACATGCCTTTTCCTAATTTATCTGTTTCCTATAAGAAATCTGGACTTCGGGACCTCACAACTAGCAAGACACCAGAGGCTTCTATATCGGTTGCTTTGACGAGGGATGCAAAGCTTTTTGAAAGAATAGCTCCTTCAACATACTGTGTGCGACCTGCCTATAGGAAAGATCCTGCTGATGCTGAGGCCATACTTGCAGCAGCAAGGAAAAAGATTCGGCAATTTGAAAATGGGTTTCTAGGTGGAGAAGATGCTGATGAAGTTGAGAGAGATGAGGTGGAAAGAGATGAAGACTCTGAATGTGATGTTGATGAGGAACCTGAAGTTGATGATATAGCTACTCCCTCAAATGCAAACAAAGATGCTGACTATCCTAAGGATGAAGTAAACACTTGTTCAGGAAGTGGAAAAGTCCATGTCTCAACTGATGCACTAAATGTTCCGAGTGAATTTGATAAGGATTTTTCATCTTTCCCTCCAAATATTATGAAGGATGCCAATGGTCCAAGTAACACTGGACAATATGTTGCTAGGGAGGAGATTGGAACAGGCAATCCTGATCAACAGAACATTGAAATTGATGAAAGCAAGTCTGGTGAGTCATGGATTCAGGGTCTTTCAGAAGGTGAATATTCTCATCTTAGTGTTGAGGAGCGCCTTAATGCTCTTGTTGCCTTAATTGGTATCGCAAATGAAGGAAACTCTATCCGTGCTGTGCTTGAGGTAGATCTTTTAGCTACAGTTTAATGTCTGATTCTGCTGTTGCTTTGAACATGAAGGTGTTTATAATTTTCCTCATTGTAATTTGATTTATGTACTTCACAGGATCGTTTAGAAGCAGCAAATGCTCTTAAAAAGCAAATGTGGGCTGAGGCTCAGCTGGATAAAAGTCGTCTGAAGGAAGAAACTATTGTTAAAATGGATTTTCCATCTACGATGGGAATTAAGGCTGAACCTCAACTGCCTAATTCTGTAGTGGAGGGCAGCCAAAGTCCATTTCCTGCTGCTTACAATAAAAATGATGAGGCATCTCCAAGCATTCCAGATGACCAAAAGCCCTTGCTCTGTCCACAAAATGTTCAGAATGATCTCAATAGTTATCCTGCTGAAAGGGCCTTGGTACTTCAAGAGGCCTCCGTGGGTCCAGATAACTTCTCTGCTCAGCAGATTGGACATGCTTCAAAAAGATCACGTTCACAGTTGAAATCTTACATTGCCCACAGAGCGGAAGAGATGTATGTATACAGGTCCTTACCTCTTGGTCAAGATCGTAGACGTAATAGATACTGGCAGTTTGTTGCTTCTGCTTCTAAAAATGATCCTTGTTCTGGCTGGATATTTGTTGAATTACATGATGGAAATTGGAGGCTGATTGATTCTGAAGAGGTATGCTTTATTACTTAGAAAGGCAACTCTGTGGATATATGGTGGGATTGGATTCCTAGACTATTAGCGCAAACTCTTAAGTTTTGTATCTTACATCTGGTTTTATTTTTTTCTCTTGTATTTAATCTTTTTCTCTGTAGGCCTTTGATGCTCTTTGGACATCTTTGGATGCACGAGGAATCAGGGAATCACATTTACGGATAATGTTGCAAAAAATTGAGACTTCCTTCAAAGAAAATGTTCGCAGGAATTTGCACTGTGCCAGGGCTATTGGCAGAAGTGGAAGCTCCACTGAAAATGAAGTTTCTGAACTAGATTCCAGTCCTGACTTTCCTGCCAGTTTTGACAGCCCTAGTAGTGCGATCTGTGGATTGAACTCTGATGCGTCGGAGACATTACCTACTTTCATAATTCAGCTTGGGAGAAACGAAAATGAGAAAAAGTTGGCGTTGAAGAGGTACCAAGATTTCCATAGGTGGATATGGAAAGAATGTTATAATTCCTCAACATTGTGTGCCATGAAATATGGGAAGAAGAGATGTGTGCAGCTGTTGGCTGTTTGTGATGCGTGCCTTGGCTCTCATATTCCAGAGGAGATGCACTGTGTTTACTGCCACCAGACATTTGGCTCCATTAACAATAGTTTTAATTTCTCAGAACATGAGATTCAGTGCAAAGAAAACAGGAAGTTAGACACCAAGGATACATATACTATTGATTGTTCTCTTCCCCTGGGAATCAGGTTGCTAAAGTCCTTGTGTGCCCTAGTTGAGGTGAGGCAGCAACAACTCTCTAATGTATAAATTGGTATTTTTTATATTAGTTATGCCTTTAGCTTTTTGTTTCAATTTTTTCCATTCGTAGGTATCTATTCCGCCAGAAGCCCTTGAATCAATTTGGACAGAAGGCCATCGAAAGATGTGGGGCAGGAAGCTGAATGCAACTTCTTCCGTGGATGAACTCCTAAAGGTTTTCATTTGTTTTAATAGAAGTGTTTATGATATTTGCCTAACCAAGTTCTTGCTCATGTTTCTAGTTCTATGCATTTTTATTATGCTGAAGGTCTCTTCTAAGAACTGCTGTTAGCCATTTAGCTTGTGCCAAAAACTATGAGACATTTGTTTTTAACAAATAGCTGATATTACTTTGCCTATTAAATAATTAAATATGTTTTGTAAATACAGTTCAGGTCTTGGTCTCACTTAAATGTCATCTTGGTGTTCCAGATATTGACTCACCTTGAGAGTGCCATAAAGCGAGATCATTTATTGTCTAACTTTGAGACGACAAAGGAATTATTGGGTTCTAGTCTTCTGTCAGAGAGTGATTCTAGTGATTCTGTGCTTCCATGGATACCCCAAACTACTGCAGCTGTAGCTTTAAGGCTTTTGGAGCTTGATGTGTCCATCATGTACGTAAAGCAGGAGAAAGTTGAACCTTCCGAGAACAAGGAAGCTAGAGCATACATAGTGAGTGTTTCAATGCCTCTTATCCCCCTCTTTGCATCTTTCATAGCTTGTGCTCATGTAAGTCGGTTAGAAAAGAGAACTTACCACATGAGTATATTTTGACGTGACCTATTAGTAGTCTATGAGTATATTTTGATGTGACCTATTAGTAGTCTAAATAGTTAAATGCCCTTGGTATTTTCCAGAGGTTGGCATTTTGTGTATGTGCCATGAATCCAAGTAACCACAGAGTTTTCTTTCAAATATTTTCTCCAGTCAAATATGTTATGTTATTGCTTTCTGGACTTTGCCATTTAATTTTTGAAATGAAACAATGTAAGCTAACCTTTTTTTTTTTCAAATATGCAGAAGCTTCCTTCAAGAACCTCTCTTTTCATCAAGAATAAAGAGCTTGAATTAAAAGAACTAGACCAAGATGAGGCTATGAAAGAAGAAAACTTTGCTGACATGAGTCACAGTAAGCGCAACAGCTATAAACGGGGAAGAGGTGGTCGTGAACAAGGATCTGGTAGGAAGTGGCGGAGGAGAGCTTCTGGTTCCAGATATGATACTGGCAAGCAAAGAGCTAGAGAAAAGAATAATTTAAGTTTCCGCCTGAAGCAGCAGGGACAAAGAACAAATGGTCAGAGTTCAGGACGTGGCCGCCGAACGGTTAGAAAGAGAGGAGAAAGGAGAGCTGCTGATAACACAATGGTGGCTCGTATGGCTGATGTAATTAAACCTAAGGCCAATGATGTGAGAGACTTGGATGAAGAATGGAGAACTGAAAAATTCAGGGTGATGCAAATGGTAAATCCTCCTGATAGTAACAGTGCAGAAGAGGAATCTGATGACAATGCCCAAGGTGAGGGTTATGACCAAGGAAACTGGGACCTGGATTATAATGGTGCTTCTAATGGATGGAATGCAGAAGCAATGGAAGCTAGTGATGAAGATGATGATGCATATGAGGACGATAATGGCGTTGAACAGCTGGGAGAAGAAGATTCAGATGGAGATTTGGAGATTAGTGATGCATCAGATGTAGTAGCAAATAAAGCTGGAAATGATGATGGGAGCGACTTAGCAGTATCTGAAGATTATAGTGATTAAACTCTTCTTTTTAAAGAATATTTGATGATGCATGAGCTGCATCTTGTTTTTGGAGTTGCAGCTTCAGAGGCAACCGGACGAGGGCAGGGGGAACAAAGTGAAAGTAGGAAGAGAAGTATCAGTTGGCCCCGTCCCCTACTTGGCCGTAAGGGACGGTTCAAGTAACTATAGAAAATTAGAGATTAATGCCAGACAGATTATTACAAAAGCTTGCCCCTCTTGGGGCATTCTCTTTAGGAAATCTTTAAATTTTATGGCTCCTTTGTACAACAAAAATTTATTAATAAAGTTTTAGTGATTCATATTTTTTAACACTTAATTTGAGTTTTTATATTAACTTTGTATTTAAGCTTGAGGGTACAAACCAATCGATGGACTCGATTAAAAAATAATAGCAAACGGTAATAGTTGATTGTGAGGTACAAAATCGTTGTGTTACAGCTTTGCTTTCTCAGCAGTGCTAAATAGGCTAAACTTTTATTCTTCTGGGTAACAAATCCATCACTTAAAAACCACAAACAAAACATTACAAATCAGGTAGGTAACCTTGTCCATGAGGGGAAAGAGGAGAAGATATTCACAAAGTTTTTTAAGTCTCATATTTTGCTAATGATGATGATGATCATCAGACTCCACCCTATGGTGCCAATAGTTTCTTGATTCCAGACTTCTGCTCCGCAGTTAACCTCGTCGGGAATTTTATATTGAACTTGATTCTCAGGTTACCTCTCCTCGACGGCTCTTTGGGTATTGGCATACCTTCCCTTGGGACGACTTCCTCGTAGTTTGGATGAATCACACTGGTGACGGGGATGGTCAAGCTCCTTCCATCCAATGTTGTAAGGTGGACAGTGTAGCCTGTTAATGCTTCTGCCAGCGCTATCTTTTGCGTCACAACAAGGTCATTGCCCTCGCGTGTAAATGTGCTGTGCGGTTTTTCATCAATTATGAAGACAAGATCTGCAGGGATTACATTCGGTTGTTCATTTCCTTTCTCGGGGAAGGTAATCTTTGTTCCCTTCTTCCAACCAGGCTTGATATCAATGGTCAGGATTTCCTCCACCGGCAATGTCTTCCTGCATCACATAGGAACATTGGTAAGGTCACCATGTTAGCAAACAGCAGTCAGAGACAGATAAAGGGGTAGACAAATTCCAGACAATATACTACAACAAAATACTCTTATCTTCTCAAAAAGAAGGCAGCCATGGGATTGGCCTGTTTTCTTATAATTAATTTCGCTCATAGTGGATTCCAAATGGATAGAGTCTAGTATGCAAAAAATGATCATGGCAAATTCTTGCAGATATCTTTTTCTGTTTAAGTAGACTAAATCAGATCAAATTAAGAAGTCGTCCACTCGTCTTTCCCAAGCAGCAAATGCATTGCAATATGCGACCAATGTTGCAAACAGAGACTTTCATTTTACCTTAAAAAGCAAACCATAACCAATAAACGATCAGCTCGGAAAATAAAAATTAGCTAGTACTCACTAACAGACAAAACACAAGAAAATAACAGCGAAATTAGAAAAGGAGACATACCCGCTAGCATCTGCAATTTCTCTTGAAATCTTCATCTTCTTGGTGGTTCCCTTGTATAACTCCTCAAGGCTACAGGGCAGTGTGTTTTCAATAGGAGGAGCTTTACGAAGAGCCTGACTCATTGGTCTTCCTTCACCAAACGAGCTAAATATATCATCACCAAACATGCCACCAAACGCCCTTGAACCACCTCTCATCCCACTGCCAACTCCACCCCCTCCCATTCCTCCAAAGGGGCTAGAAACCCCAAAAAACTCGGTAAAAATGTCATTAGCATTTCTGGGGTTGAATCTAAACACATTTGGACCATCTCCAGTTTGAAAAAATGTTGCTCCACCAGGACCGCCGGCATCTGGCGGTGGAACTTGGCCTTTTAGCCCTTCTTCACCATACAGATCATAGATAGCTCTCTTCTGTGGATCACTCAGAACCTGCAAATTTGAAAGTTAAGTCACCCTTTAGACTATCTATATATGCAAAAGATTAAACTTTGAATTGATGGGCAATCTTATAATTCGAAATTGATGAGACCCAAATGATAAATATGTGATTTTGACATAAGGGTCACATGAATCAAAGAGGAAGAACCAAAACTTCATCGATGATCATGACGATTCTCGATAAAAGGAACCCAGTTTTTCTATTGAGTCTTACCAATTAATTAACAAATGATAAGCTAGTAAAAGATATGCTAACCTCATAGGCTTCAGAAATTTTCTTGAATTTGGACTCAGCTTCCTTTTTGTTGTTTGGGTTCTTATCAGGGTGCCACTTCATGGCAAGCTTCCTGTAAGCCTTCTTCAAATCATCATCTTTTGCATTCTTGTCAACTTGCAGGATCTTGTAATAATCTACACCCATCTTCTTCTTCTTCTTCTTCTACCTCTTCCTGTTGCTCTTGTTTTGCCGCAAAAAGAAAAAATTAAAGAATCTTGAAAGCTGAATCACCTTCGAAGCTAGATTTCTTACGAGTGTTTTAGTTTGTTTATGTTAAATAAAAAGCGTTGGTGCGTTGCTGGGAATTGATTCGGAAGAGAGTGAGATTGATAAAAGGGCAAAGATATGTCTGGAAGCCAAACTGAGAATGACCAGAAGAGTGTGGAAGTTTCCAGAGAGTGCGACCAAGAACCAAGCAGGTACACGAGTTCTCCCGACGGTGCGTTTCTAGACCAGACAAAACAAGCTCTCTTTAGTTTTACAGTTCCGTATAGCTACTCCATGGATCATTAGGTGGGACATCCAAATCAATCAATAGATTTTTCTGACTAAAATAATCAATAAATATTAAGGAATATATTATTAAATATTATGAAAAAAAAGGTCATAAATTTTCACTCAACTTGATAAAAGCCTATTCTGTTGCATTCCAAAATTTATAACTAATTTGATTGAAAAATAAATGTTTAATGATAAATTTAAAAATATATTATATATAAATATTATTAATTCTTTTATAATATATTTAAAGAGATTATATTCAAATCAAAATAATCAATCAAATTTAACAAAATAAGTCGATTTTTATTAGATTTTATTATTGTGATTACTTTTTATAATAGTTAGATGATTGATACCTCTTTAAAATTATAAACCCTCTTACTCCTTTTCCTCAAAATTTGATAAATAAAGGACACTCCAAGCAATAAAAAAAACAACAAAGATTTCTCCCTTACAACTCTTCATTCCAATCATATTCCACAGATTCTTAGTATTCCAATAAAACCCAATTTTGATTTTAATGAATTTGTAAGCATTCATATCTTAGAAATTATCTATATTATTATCTAAAAGAAAAATATGAGTTGATAAAAATTTAATTTTGAATTTAAATTTTGGAAATATTTAGATAAAGTGATAGCAAAGCACACTATGTATTATAGGCAAAATCACTTTGTAGTTTAATTAGTGCTTTTTCAGAATTTTTTACTTTGAAAAAAAATTCTTTTTTTAAATATTTTTTAATTGTATTTTACAGTTTCATTGATGGGCCAGGCCCTGGACTGAATGCATTAGTGATGATGGGCCAGATGATAGCGTAATGACTGCCCATCTTCTTTAACTTCTCTGGACCAGATTTTCACATGCGTCTCTTTCGTACCAAACGACGACGTCGTGCGATACCATCCGTCGTCTACTGCTACTTGAAGTTCTTGGATCATAGGGAAAAAAAAAAAAAAGGAAACCTCCGGTGAAGGACCATGCACTGTCACGTGATATTTCCACTCCGCCTTGAACGACGTCCCTCCCTTTCAATCCAATTTAAGCTATAGATCTTCACGGTTATCCAGTGAGCGCGTCCGTTTCCTATCATTTACCTCTACAAATTTAATCCATTTCTTTTTTCCTGCTTAATCTATACGTACTTCGCTTCTTCAAACGGTTAAATAATGTAGACCTGCAAAATTTCTTAGTCCCAATGGCTACTCTCTCCTTTTCTGTCCTCAAACCAAACCCTTCGTTTCCTTCTAAAAGCTTCTCTTCCCTTCCAATCCTCTGCACTCACACTCTCCGATTCCTCCGCGCAACCGTCTCCCGCCACATCCGAAGCCACCGGTTCCACTTCCGTGACCGTCGAAACCGCCTCTAGCGAAAATCACGCGAACTCAACCGCATTCGTTGTCCGCGGACGTAACCGTATCGGTCTCCTTCAAGTCATCACGCGCGTTTTCGATGTCCTCGGCCTACGCGTTGACAAAGCCACGATAAACTTCGAGGGAGACTATTTTATCAAAACGTTCTTCGTAACCGATTCTCGCGGTAACGAGATCGTCGATGAGGAGAGGATCGATGGTGACGATGACGCCGCCGTTTCTGTGCCGTCGGCCGCGAGAGGGATCGTGGTTAGGTAACCTCGGCTCGGTTTTGGGGAGAGGAAGGCGAAAGCTGAGAGGATGTTTGGATTGATAGATGGTTTCTTAAAGAACGATCCAATTAGCTTGCAGAAGGACACTTTACATCACGTTGAGTGCACGATGACGCGATCACGGTTTCGTTTCGATGATTTTGAAGCTTATCAGGTTGGATTTAGTGTGCCCTTTATAATTTTTGAGAATGAACTGTGACATTGTTTTGAATTTTGGCGGGAATGTATATTTGCTTTCTAGTAATTTGATTTTGATTGTTTAACATATTCGTAGTTTTTAGCACATAGTGTACGAGATCGGTTGATTGAACGTTGGCATGATACTCAGATGTATTTCAAGAGGAAAGACCCAAAGCGAATTTACTTCCTTTCACTGGAGTTTCTTATGGGTATTTTCGCACCTTTATCTAAGCTGATTATTATTATTATTATTTAAATGATTGATAAGTTTAAGAGCTCGCTAAAAGTTTGGTTATGTGTTCTATTACTTTCCTAGTACCTATAATGTATCAAATATAGAGGATCAAACTTTTGTTCTTGTTATACACTAAAACTGAATTTCCTGGATTGACATCTTACTCTGGTTTTTCATTGCTTGTCACATGCTAAAATACAGTGTAATGTTTAATTTCTGGCTGTTCATTGTCCAATAGTATCATCAACCGTGGAATCCGGGACCAGTATGCAGATGCTTTAAGCCAGCTTGTTTTTGAGTTTGAGGTTTTAGCAGAGCAGGTCAGCTTAACATTTTACTTGTTGCAGTCCTTGATTGTCCTAATCATAGATTATTATAATTCAGCAGATCATGATTTTACAGACAAGCAATTGTTTGATTGTGAAAAGAATTGAACACATGGAGTAAATATAGAGGTCATGTTCTGTGGGAACTGAAGATTTGAACTTGGTTTACTGAAGTGAATCCTGTTCTAGGGAGCATAGTGACATAAACTTCTCTGATGATAAGGGGTGCTTGTCCTGCTAAAACAAGCGTGTCATTCTAATCACAATTAGGGAGAGACATTTGGTTTTAACAAGTCAGCTAAAAGTAAATTCTTAATGCATGTAGCAAGAAAGCTTTCTTTTATTGGCTTGTTTTATTTTTTATAATTGGTATACTCAGATAAGTATTAACTTTCCTCTTTAGCTTATTCTTTATGATATTCTAAGGAAGAAGATGCTTTCCTGGGTAATGAAGGCCTATCAATCCTTCGCAGGCCTATCTTAATTGTTATCTATCAATCCTTTGCACGACTTCTATGAGCTGTGGCCTCACAAATTTCAGTACAAGACAAATGGAGTAACCCAGGTTTAAATAAGATACAATCTTCATTATATTTATCAACTTACTGATTGATTGAGTTGCTTGCTACACTTTAAATAAATCTTAGAATTGTTACTTTGATGCAGTGATGCATCTAGCGTTGATAACTAAAAGTAGATGAATAATTCAAATTCATCTACCTTTGTATTGATTTTGATCTCTTAGTATTTGATTTCTCAGCGTCGCTGGATTGTTGTGAGCAATCCTGGTTTATGTGCTCTTATCTCAAAATGGCTTGGAACAGCAGCTTGGATCCGTGATGTTGACCTTTTAACAGGCTTGAGAGACCATGCAGCTAATGGCAAATTGCATCAAGAATGGAATATGGCACTTTCTATCTTAGTAAGCATGGTTTAATTTGAAAACAAAACACATAAAATCATTCATTTATTGTTAATTACTATGTCATAGGTTAAGAAGGTCAACAAAATAAGGCTTGCTGAGTACATTGAAGCAATGAGTGGCTTGAAGGTTGTGAAGATAGCTTTTATTTGTGTTCCTAAAGTTCCTTTTCCTGTCTTGGAGGAGCTTTGTAGTGATCTTATGTTGGTGTGCATTATTTGTAATCTACAGGTCAGCTTGGATGCAATGTTTGACGTGCAGACGAAGCGAATACATGAAAACAAACTGCAGCTGCTTAATATACTTGGCATTATCCATAGATATGACTGTATCAAGGTTAGCACTATCTTTGGCCAAAAGAGCCTTTAAAAGAAGTTAAATATATCAAATGGTGCTTCTTGTACGTGTCTCATTAACTTGTCCCTGTAGTAAACTAACAACCATAGGTTAAAGATATTACCATCTTGTGGCTGGATTGTACAAGATCTAGGATTCTTACTCATTTTAATTGCATACATCTTTAAACTGTCTGATATGAGTTGATAATCTATTCTCCTTAAGCATAATCCTTTTGGCTTTGCATGAAGATGATATACAGATTGTATATATTTTCAAACATTGTACCATCAAGTTAAAAAAATTGCCAATTTTTCTCAGTTTTGTTCTATAATCTGGCACCCATGGATAGCTTGCTCATTCCATTAATACTTTGGTTCAGAATATGGACAAGAAAGATTGGCTAAAAGTTGTACCACGTGTCTGCATAATTGGAGGAAAAGCTGCTCCAGGTTATGAAACTGCAAAGAAGATTATCAAACTTTGTCATGCTGTGGCTGAAAAAATCAACAATAATAGTGATATCGGAGATCTTTTAAAGTTGGTAAGGCAGTATTAATTTTTCATATGTGTTTGCTGAATGTAAGTGTAACTCTGAAGCATGTATTATTTACTCAGAAAGGTGACTAATTGCCCTTAAACAGAAATAATCCGCAACAACGATGATGAAAGAAAGCTGTAAGTACCTGTATACCAGTCTTCTAATAATTGAATGTGCAATCTGTTTCCTAAGTCAGGTTAACTACATTTTTAGGTTTTTATCCCTGATTACAATGTTTCTGTTGCTGAGTTGGTAATCCCAGGGGCTGACCTTTCTCAATACATAAGGTAGTAAGCATATGTTTTTCACATTAGAAGGAATCCTTGGTTTTGTTAGCAGTTCTACAATGTTTTGCAGGATCAGTGAATGGGGTTTCACTTGGTGTTTTTGTATGGTCAACTTCTGGCTTAATATATATATGTATTCACTCTAAACATGAATGTCCTTTTTAGCAGTAAATTTGGGTCGACTATCATTGGAATCTATTAGCATTACTTGTCGTTAGGCTTCATCATATGTAATGAATGATATTTCCTATATTTAAAATGCAAGTGCTTCTGATCTACACTTCTTTCACCTAAGGTTTTCCTGATTCTGATGCAGCACTGCAGGACATGAGGTATCGGGAACTAGCAGCATGAAATTTCTGATGAATGGATGGTTACTTCTAGCTACAGAAGATGGGTCTACTGTTAAAATTATTGAAGAAATAGGGGACGACAACATGGTTAGTGCTACTTAACTTTGGCCTATACATTGACATTGAATGTATACAAACATAATCAACAACAATACTAGTAGCATTCTGATAAAGTTTTCTTTCAGTTTTTATTTGGTGCAGAAGTGCATGAAGTTCCTGCATTGCGCGAGAAAGGACCTTGTCTTGAAGTTCCCCCGCAATTTTCACGTGTTGTAAGGTAAACATCGGCCCCCTTCTCTCTCCCACCCCTTGAGATATGATTCAAGTGATTCAGTGCCATTGTGTTACAATGTGTAGGATGGTTCGTGATGGTTATTTTGGCTTTAAAGACTATTTCAAATCATTGTGTGACGATATAGAGGGCGGCCACGACTATTATCTCTTCGGCGCTGATTTTAAGAGCTATTTAGAGGCTCAGGTAATAGTTATCTTCAAATCCCTCAGGTTTCCCGGACGTGTTGAAATGCCTTGAGGATTTAACTTGCGTACATATTTAAACAAACAGGCAGCTGCTGACAAAGCGTTTGTTGATCAAGAGAGATGGACTCAAATGAGTATACTCAGTACCGCTGGCTCTGGGAGATTTAGCAGTGATAGAACGATTGAAAAGTATGCTGAAAAGACTTCGGCAATTCAACCCAGCAGATGCCCCTTTTGAGAAGCGACATCGCCAATGCACTGTTTGTGTTAATTATATACAAGACCCGTTTCGGGTTTTAAATTATCTACGTGTATAGTAATTTAGTACTACTCTATTTGATAGACATGTTTCCCTATAATAATTAACAGAAATATTTTAGGTGGAGATTTTTGCCCTTTTTTTTTTTTTCTCTTCTGGAGATCATTTTTATCTGTTGTCGCATCCCGACCTCTTGGATATGACGTCATACTTAGTGGTCAGTTGAACTTTATTTTTACCGGGGATAATTTGAAGAAAAGTACAGAGTTTATTTTATCAATTCACCATTTTAAACAATTTTGGACAAAAAGGAAAGAATTATTCGGTATTTTCAAAGCTTTTCTTTTTATTTTTCTGGTCAACGCACGGATCTATAAAGCTTCGACTACCAGCGCTTGCCACGTAGAAAGAACCACTATGCCTTCTCGCTGGAAGAAAAGGGCAGAAGTAAAGAGCGATTGTTAGCTAGTGCAGCGAAGAAGCAGAGGCAAGAATGGCGGCTTACCTGATTCTCATTCCCGCTATTTTCAGTTGTTTCTTCTTCTCTCTCGCATCCCAAAATGAACAAAATAGCAACTACAACCTCTTGATCCGTGAATTGCACGACACCAAGCTCAAGATCTCTCGTTTGGGTAAAACATTTCCTCTCAATTTCTTTGCTAATAAATACTAGTATATGCAAACACATATTAATCTTGATCTTGATTACGTGCTGGTTGTAAATTGGAGGCAGAATCCGTTCTTGACGAAAGCATTCAAAACGGAAATGCTAAAACCCTTTATCTCAAGGAACGCGAGAAGCTCCTCGAGGAGATGGCCGACAAGATCACTTATCTGCAGTCTACTCTATCCAGTCTTAAGGTTCAATTCTTTCAGCTTTGCTGATGTTTTCGTTTGTTGCATCTATTCAGGTTTATTTGGATTGAATCTCTTCTCCCAAGACATGTCTCAGAAAGGAAAAAAAAATAGTGGCATTTTGAAAGCAGAAGATTGGGGAGTTCAGTGTATTAAATTACGGTTTATTCACCTAGGAAAACATGACTATTGACTGTGCATTAATTAATTGCAGGATGACTCTTTACTTGCTGATGAAAGACTTAAGGATCTGGAAGAGGAGGTTCATTTTAAATGCTCATATAATCCTTGTTCAATTTTTCTCCTATTGAATTCCTTGCCAATAGTCATTAGTGTGTGGCAAGAAATGTTTTTGCTTTATGCAGTATTCAACTGACTTGAGAAGTAGGCTTCCTGATCCTAGGTACGTCTGCTTTGGGCTGTTTCAAGAAAGAACAATTTTGAACTTCATGTTTTAGAATCGAAAGCACAGGAGGCTGAGAATAAACTGGAAGTGGTTACTTTAAAAGTTGAAAAGGTCAGCATTTGCATTCATTATATTTCATTTCGGTGTAGAACCTCTGCTCATGAATGAAGGCTTTTTTTTGTTACCTACAGAGTTAGTCAGACATAGTGAACATGTAATGCTGAATGACTAAGGATTTCTGCCTATTATAATCATTTATAAACTTAAAAGAATTTTCATCTTGTTTGCAGTTCCAATTATCGCAGTTTGCAGTTTTGGTTCCTTCAGTTCTAGATTTAAATATCATTTCTGGTTGTGGGGGGGTGGTGTGTGTTCTGGTCAGTGCTAAGCTGTTTTCTTTAAATAAAGTCAAGAAAGAATTTTTTTTTTCTTTGGATTTTTATTTAATTTGTTAATGGAAATGATCATACTTTGTCAGAACTCAATCTTGGTTAATTGTGATGTGTAGAAGAAGCCTTGAAAAGTGTCTATTCCCTTTTGGTTTTGTTATCTTTTGATAGACCTGAATGCCCAATGTTGAAATAATACATGTTGAAAATGAGTTTCTCTCTTGTACTTAAATTTGTCTTTTACTCACTTAAAGTTCCATTTCCTTGCTTTTAGATGGCAGAAGTTGTTACAGAACAATGGATTCAAATTCAACATCTTGAGCAGGCACTTCAAATTGCTGAAGTAATGTCTTCCCTAGATCCTAATGATATTAGTCATACGTTAAATTCATAAGGAAATTTAAAATAAAGAAGAAAATAAAGGTTCTTTCCTAATAACAAAGCTTCTTTTTGCACTATTACTGTTTTTTCTTAACAGATGAGGGCATTGCAAGCTCGAAGAGAAAGGAATATGAGATGCACATTCTTGAAGGTAATAATATTAATATGTTGACATGGTCTTTCAGAACTTTTTTTCTCTTGTCTCAGTCTGTTTAAGCCCTGAAGTTTGAAATCTAATATTGATCTTTGTATACCAAAGCATCATCAACAACTACAGCTTCGCACCTTATAATTAAAATCAAATGGTATGTTGCCATATGCTTATCTTTCATGCAATTCTTAACAAAATCTAATCTTTTGTTTGAATATAGTTCATTAGCGACCTTTCTGAAAGACATCTTCCAAAGATGTTTGGGGCATTGGGTTCTAATTCTTTGAGCAAAGGATCTGCTATAAATTATTACATCCCTCAAGCTCTGCAACAATTGAGAAGATTATACTCAGCAATTAAAAAGTATCACCATGAGGTATGTTTTGATTATTCCATATATGGGATTTTCTATAGTTGATGTTTCTGAAAAAAAAAAAAGATGTTAACCTTGAAGGTCTTCACATGTTGAAACTTACATGCAAGTTCACATTGTGAACAACAAAAAATGTTCACAGGAAACATATAAAGTACACCATTGCCCTTGCCTCTCTGTCAACACAGTCTTCCACCCTCCTAAACAGTTTGAGCCAGAAGATTCTGAGATATAACGGTTGCAAGATTGCATAATCTGTTTATTCTGCTAAATTAATTTTGACACTGAATCATGGAGACTGATCTATGGAAACTTTTGGTCTCTTCCAACCTCATAATCGAAACTGGTGAGTTACTTCTGCAAAGAAGATTGTAGGTGTTCATTGTTATATCAGCCAAGAAAAGTATTTTTGGAATGATAGAGTAGTACGTCAACGACTGAGAGTAGTTTTTTTTTTTTAAGATTAACAAGGTCTACTTTTCAATTCAAACTTCACAGGGAAATAGTTAAAATGAATTACAATGAGATTGATTCCTAATAAAACAGAAAGGAAGCAGTGCAAATGGCGTGGTTATGAACCTTCATTGGCTCTATATTTGAGGCCCATGCCATATGTTTTCTTGAATGAGAAAAGCAATATGCTAACATTAATTACCAAGGCGCTGAGATTGTTTGTGAGAAAAGCATCAAGAATTGTATCACACTTTCAGGTTGCATCGTCTGTGGACAATTATCCCTGTGGGGATGAATGCGAACATGAATTCCACAAATCAAATTATTACTTGGTCCTTAAGTGATAACAATTCATTTTCTTCCAAACCAACGGAACTTGACTTGATGTAGAATTTAAGGGTTTAAATTTACCAGCAATTCATTTTCATGCAAAGTAATTTATATTGTTTACTGGATGTATATATATATATATATATATATATATATATATAGGTTCCATTTACAAGTTAATATGTATTTGTCCAGGCAATAATGCCTAGCTCCAAGGAAGTATATCTCTTCCTTAAGGAACCTTTGCCTTTGGAATAAAATTTTGTTTCTTTTCTGTTTGTTTGTAGTTGCAAGGTTTCATCAAACAAGAAATGAGAAGAAATGAATTCACTGCAGCTCTTCTCAATGATGAACTGGTATTCTTCCTGGTATGTTCTCATGTATCTGCTACCTTCTTCTATACCTTCAAAGTTCTACTTGAATTACGGGTATAATTCATTTTCTGCTATTTCAGGCTTCTGCTTTGATTACCTTCCCTATACTGAGTGCTTGGATGCTGCTGTTATCACAGTTCAGCTAGGTCAAGAAACCTTACCTTCCATTCAAGTGTAGTAGCTTGCCCTGAAATACTGGATACCATCCAAGCTGCTGCAGTTTGTGTCCTATTCTCTCTTTTACATTTTGGTTTTGCTATTAAGAAATGAAAGAAGAGTTTGACACATGCACATCCCCACAGCACCGGCTCAATTAGTCTATAATCATCACATAAGTCTACATAGCAATATTCCGGATCCAGATCAATATATTGCTATCAATGTTACGCAGATCCATACGTTATGATCCTTATCCATCCAAATTTTGCTTTGCCAGGCTTATGCTATGAACAGTCTATTTGTAGCATAGTTGCAATCGAGTCAAATCTTTCAATTGATTTTATGCTTAAAGATAAGAATAGAATAGATAGATGGGAGTGTTTCACGCCCGTAATAGTTACCATCTCACCTTTGCTAGCTGGTGCATTTGATTTTGGTTTTACGCAATTTCATCCCAATTAGCGGTACTGCAATGTAATGATTCTAACTCAACTGCGCACCATTAATCATAAGGCCCGTACCAAATGATTCTCGTAATTACATACATTATTATCCTTTGGACGATTAGCCTATCTATTATTACTTCAGTATAAAAAACAAAAGAAGTGCTGAGAAATTCATGAATAACTAACAAAAGAAAATGAGGAAAGTCGTAAGGTGGGATTTGCTATTTCTGCTGGCCGCAGAACTTCAAGAAAACGTGAATTGATCCGTCTGTGAATCAAGTAATCCTATTCCTATCATCTCCGTGTTGGTGTGTAATCACATGAAGCAAGGCAGATGGCAAAAGGTAATTGGCAACATTAAATCCTTCATTTTTGTCACCTTCCCGACCTAAGCCACAATCCATTACCCACTCTGAAATGAAATGGACGACACGACATGGGAGCAAAAGCTCCAAGCTTTAACCCACATCCTTACAAGCCCTACACCCTCACCGCCACTCCACTCGCAGTTCTTCATCTCCTCACAAATCCCATGTTACCTCAACTGGGATTACCCTCCGGTTCTCTGCAATAAACCCAACACCGACACCTTCCCTTCTCTTCACCTGAAATGGGGATTCTCTCTTTTCCTCAAAAGGGTCTCAACATTGGGTCTCCCTGAGACTTCCTGGAGGTCCAAGTGCCCTTACCATCAGCCCCCGCCATTGATTCTGGCGAAAGGAGTGGAGGAGGCAAAGTGGGATGATGGGCAAAAGAGGGTGTACGTTAGGCAGAGGCTGAGAAGGAAACTCCGAGGAAGCGACGTTCAACCTTGGATTCCAATTTTGATTCCCGATTTGTTATTGTTCTCTCTTTTGTTGTTCAATCCGTTTCCTCTCAACGATTCATGAGAAATTGTGTACGAGGCACTACTAAATCCTTACGTTTATCAACAATTTTTCAGTTTATTTGGTTGCTTGACGCTTAGTGACTTTCCAATATGTTTCTCAATAGGACTGTTATTTGCCATGTCAAATCTAAATTAGCATTCATAAACAGATGAAAACGGGTTTAGATTGGGACCCCAATCATCACCATTCAAAATGATAAAGCAGAACCAGCAATAAAGGATTCCAATTCACTTTGCTTAATCTAGAATTTACCTTTCATGGCCAAACAAAGCTTTGCCTGTCAAGTCCATGTCCATGACCCACCTGTTTATTACTACTACTAAACTAATTATCCCCGCCAAATCACCAACTATAAATTTGGCTTGACGTGTAAAAATGTCATTCTTTCGCAATATTGAAAGTTTAAATGGTGCTGGAGCCCTCATTTGCACTGAACCGAACCAAAGGACTTTGAATTTATTCCATGTACAACTTGCCCCCAATGAATTTTCCTTGGACATATAACCCGCCAAACTCCAACTGCACTAACTGGAAAATCTACTTTGTATTCCAGTTTAGTTGAATTTTGCAAGCATCTACCTTGGACTTTCCCACATGGTTTGGGGGCCATTGCCTTGACTTTCTTCAAGATGTTCAGATTTTGCATTCCAACCAAATGTGGTTTGGTTTAGTTTTGTTAAGTTAAGCTTACCTCCCCAGCTGCTGCTTCACTACTAGTCTACTAATCACTTCGGATACTGTCTTTTCCTTCCTGTTAACCCTTTCTCTTTCCAATCTCTTTTCAGTTTGCCAAACTTTTTTCAAAATTGGGTAGGAGTTGATTGCCAGATGGATGCATGCTTTGCACGGCTGAGAGCCTCCCTCACCGGTAATCACGCAATTAAAACTTCACTTAATCCAAGGAAAAAGGAAAGAAAAAAACAAAGAAAACAAAAGCAAAAGCCAAACAAAAAGAAAAATAAAGGATCTCAATTGATTGGTCAAACACTTACGTTGACAATAAAGCATGTCTACACCATTCCTTTGGTTTTTTTAACTTAGAAATAGAATCTTTTCCTCAATGAATAATCAATCAATTGCCAAAAGCCCTCGAAGGGACTAAACCCAAAAATCGAGAATGCTAATGTGAACTATTCATTTGTCTTCTCCAATCCTCTCATCCTAAAACGCCAAATATCGTAAACCCCAATCCTTTCATGTCTTTATCAAAGAGTTCCCTAAGACTAGACTTGAGGTCGTACTTTCATGTTTTATCATGAAACTATAACTCCCAACATTGCATTTCTGTAAGAATTTTTAACCCAAGTTGCAACCACATTTAGCTATGGAGAATTCAACCCTTTTCGTTTTTTAATCTTGTCTTGGTTTTGGTTATGTTTATATTGTTACTGGTTGAGCCATTTGTGCTTGAATTTTCAATACATGAAGCACAAATGGAGGGATCAGTCAGCGGAAGTTTCTTTTCCTTTTATCCTTTTTCTCCTTTTTTTTTTCTTTTTTCAACTTTTCCATTTGATATTGGCGCCATTCATATTCTTAAAGTTTATTAAGAAACATCTGGTGATGACCAGCAGCATTAAATTACAATAAAAAATATGGATGGACATATATCAGTAGCCAGCCCTCAGTATTGATGATGTTGCTAGTTTTGCACTCTAACAATATTATGAAGCTTTAAATTGATATTTATGAGAAAAGAAGAAGAGATGGGAAAGGGAGAGACAGATTTTAGGTTTGCCTTAGCCCTTAGGATTGCAACTCAAAACTCTTCCAACATGCATTTTCATGGCCAAATTCTTGTAAATGTAACTACCAGTTGGATGGATTTAAATTGGTATTTAAGGGTGTCTCTCAATTGTACTGGTTATAAAAAGTTAAGCAGCTTGTATATGAAGCAAATTAATTAAGGTAAAGTATGTGATCAACCGTTTCCATGCCTTGAATGGAAGAAATTATTTTATCACAATGTGATTCACATTAAAAGAAAGTGAAATCTTCTCACACATCATGTTGGATTAACCTAAATTTAAACTAAATTTACTGATAATTAAGCATCTAATTCGTATCAAATGGTAATGTAATACAATATCGATATGAACAAGTTTTTCTACAAATTAAGGTAGACTACTACTTGAAAACTTGATAAAAATTCCACAAAAATGTGGGTAGTTAGGAGGGACTTCAGCTTAGGTCAAGGCTTGGAATGCGCATGGCACTTAAAAAGCTGGGGAGAGTAGGGTTATGGGGCCAGCTGAATTGCCTTCCTCCACGTAGAAAAAGGATTGGTGTGTCCCTAATATTAGACAAAGTGTAGAGGGGCAGCACATGCAGAGAGGAACTAAATGTCATCATTTATTGTCCCCACCCACTCCCCTTCTTCCCCTCAATCCTCGCATCGTCAGTCGCCGTCCATTTCATGTATATCCTCTCTTGCACTAGTCTACAGTTCCTAATTAAGCTACCCTCGTTCACAATTATGCCTCTGTTCTCTTCTCTCTTTGATATAGAAGAGATGAAGATGGAAATTAGAAGAGATAAAGTAGAAAGTAGAGTTATATAGTAGCTAGTACTTTTATAACTTTCAGCAAAGAAAATCTTATATTGAATTTGATAAATTGGTATTGTTTTATTCACTCTATCATCCAATATATACATCAAACATACCCTTGTTGACAATGCCTTAACACTTTGATATAATTATAAGATCAATCTAGGCTTTGCTTAGAAGATACGAAAGAGTCTTGTCACATGAGCGAATCTTGAGAGAAAGCTAACAAGTAGTTAAACCAGTTTACCATGGTGGGGGTGGGGAATGGGATCATAAAGTGCACCAAATTATATTAAAAGAAGACATAACTATCATTAACAACAAACACAAAGGGAAGGGACTCTTTTGTGAAAGTTCTCTCTCGTGCAAGGGACCACAATCATCACCCTCCCCAGTCCAATTTGCACCTAATTGAGTGGAAAATTTTTACATAGAGAAAACAACGAAGATTGGTCTTTCTATATAAGGATTTTGTATCATCACAATTTTCTCATCAGCCTTAACACTAGCTACTCTCACACAAAAGGCATCAGCTACTTTCGCTTTCCCTTGCTAGTTGCCACCCCCCTGATCATGGCTACCTCACCGAAACTCATCCCTATCCTCTTCCTCTTGGCCTTCTTCTTCATCCAAATCCATGCCAGGGAATTCTTCAGCAAAATCCCAAGAGTCAACAACAATGAGAAAGAGTCGACGACTGTCCCTGACACGAGAGAGCAAGAGCATGAGACCTTCATCCCCGAGAACGAGAAGACTTCACTTCCCAACAGGGAAGAGGAGACTTTTGGGAGGCAAGAGCAAGAGCCGAGGTTTATCCCCGAGACCCGAAATGGCTATGGTCTTTATGGACATGAGTCAGGCCAGTTCCCTCCCACTACCACCACCACCACCAAAGAAACCTACGAACCCTATGTTACCCCTGTCAAATACCACGCTGATGAACCCTACAACATGATTCCTGAAGCCAACAACAACAACAACAAGAACACTTACTACAACAACAAGAATACCTACGAGACCGAGAAGCAAAACTTGGGTGAGGCCAGGTTCACGGAGAGAGGGTGGAGCACCAAGGAAAACCAGAACAACAACAACAACTACTACTACGGCAACAATGGCTACAACAATGGTGAGAGGCAAGGCATGAGCGACACCAGATTCATGGCGAATGGAAGGTACTTCTATGATGCTAAGAATGAGAACAACTATTACCCGAACCAGTTCAAGAACTCCAGGGGAGTTGCTTCAAGGAACGAGTACAACGAGAATCGTTACAGCAACATGGGAAGGTACAACCAGAACCAAGAGGAGTTCGAAGAGAACGAGGAAGAGTTCGAGCCCTGAGCTGTGTGTAATCTACCGTCGAGTGAAGAACATCAACTAAAACAAGTGGTCTTAGATGTTTTAAGTGTGGTAATTAATTAACAAGGAAAAGAACAAAGAAGATAAAATTTTATTTATTGGGTCTTGCGGTTAAGTTGTGATCCTTTCATTTCCTGGTTTGCATAGTCCTTTTGCTTTGAAATGCTAAAGGTATGAGAGTTATGTTTTTTCCTTTTTCCTTTTTTTTCTTACTCTATCAGACAATTTATTGAATAAAAATGTAAGTATACTCTAATCCTAGCTCTTTCTGTTCCTCCTCTAGCTACTTAAATTGCACCAAAAATCCACTTAAAAGAACTACAAGCCAAGAGAAAAAGAAAATCAACCTACTGCTTCAGCCTTCTATATTGACATTGATGTTTAATGATGTGCAAGGATTTCAAATCTTGACAGCGTCATCAAAATTCTCTAATCCAAGATTTTAATCATTGATGATACTATGATAGGATAATGTCTTTTAATCAATAAACCCCACTTCCACAAACCATAAATCTAATTAAAAAGTTAAATTTGAATAATGTAATGATCATATTCGTAAAATATTTAAAATTTAATATATTATTACATAAGTATTTAATTTAACAATAAATACTTAAAAAGTTGAATTCTTGAATGAATGTTAGGTGAAAAATCTCCGAGTTGTTGTTGTATGGATATGCATATAAACCGATCGATTTTCAACTGCCATGAACGAAGGAAATGTTTAGTTTCTTCACCCCAATCCATGTGATGATATGGCCCCCTCCTTTGCTATCTTTACAGTACTAACGTGCTTTTGGTCAAAACAGTAGATGGAGCACTTGCAAATCACCATTTCCCAGTGTTTTCCAAGAAAGAGATGAGTAGGACTATAGTGATGTTTCTTGCTACTGCTTCGCTCATCACTCCAGTCAACAGTGTAAATGCATGTGCCTTGAGAGGAAAAAGCCACTTGGAATTGTTTCTTATCCATGCTTTCCTATTCTCACACTGAAAGAAATAAACGTTGGGTAATTCAATTAATTAAAATATGCATGTAACTTTTAAATGCATATTATAGTAAACCTACCAAATTTATTATTTGTTTTCCCTTCTATTTGCTTCTCTCCCCAAACCCCATTTCGGGTCTATTTATGGGTATTGATTAAGAAAGGTAATCCCACCAATTGATGGTCAAGGGTAATTAATTATGCTAGCTGGTTGGCAAACAACAAGCAAAGGGGAAAAATATGTAGGGTCACCTGCAAGTTCCTCATCATAAAAGAAAAAGGGGGGAAAAAGGAAAACCATGCCCAGCCCATTCCGATTGGATTGTCTTCTCCGTGAATGACGGATAGACTATGATCTTTTCTTTGCTTGGTATATTTTTTCCAACTTCATTTGTGCTCTCAAGCTTTGGGATCCTTTGTTCTTTCTTGACTTACAATCCAAAGACTTGTGTTTTGTATGTCTATATGCCACTAGGGAATGTTTATAGTATAATTTTCAGGGTTAGGTTCTAACCTTAATAAGATATTGATGAGAAGAACTTCAATTCTGATGCTCACCCAACTAAACTTTCGGGACCAGGGGCTGCATAGCAGCAAAGCTGTTCCTGCAATTTTTAGGTACAGTGTCTTTATGGGTATGGAACCCCATTTCAACAAGGAAGGAACTTATTGATCCCGGAAAAAGGAGCATATAATTGTAGGAGTACTCATGATGCTGGGGATTTCAATGGTTAAAATTGAAGGAAAAAAAAAAGAAAAATATTGGACCATCTGGAAGTGAAATAATTGTTGCTACGAACAAATAATGACACCCACCCACGCTTCCTCGGCTCCCCCTGTTGCTCCCACCATTGCTAGCTGTATCTCCATTTTTATCATCATTCTTTTCTGTTCCCAGCACTTTTTCAGCATTCTTATGCAGATATAATTAAAATAAGTTTTGCTTAAAAATTAACATGGAAAAGCACAAGCCGATACATCATCATCTGTTAGAACTCTTCATTTCTATACTACACTTTTCAAGTACTGAAGTACTGCTGCTGGAGGCGGATGGATAATAATGATAAATACTGGTGGGTGACCATGAAAACAAAAATAGTACTACTACTTAATTTCGGATTCAGTTGATCTGCTTTGCTTTCATTGGAAGTTAAAGACATTAGCTGAGCCACGCCTAACGAAATCAATGTGGAGGTATATCAGTATGACCACCTCATCTCTCTCTCTCTTTCTCTGTCTTTCCCTCTCCATTGGGTACAAGGGCATCAACTTGTTGGCAGGATGGTGAGACAGCAAGATGCATAGGGGGCGAACTGGATGGAGCTAGCAGCCCATAATGTTGGCATAAAATCAGGAGGATGTTTTGGGGAGTGTCTTGCATTAGTCCAAACTATCATGCTGCATTGACTGCATAAGTCAATACAGAAAGAAAAATCATATTCACAAGCTTTGTAATGACTAGAAATCTTGTTTACCTCTCTTAGCTTTGGTATATCTATTTCTTCCCTAATAAAAAGTAAGGGAGAAAGGCGGGGGGATGGGATTTTAGAATCCTTGTAACATGAAGAGGAGCAGCTGTCATCTTTTGCTAGATTGAAGGGTCAAAAAGAAAGTATGACCAATATAGAGGCATCTATTGGAAAGAAAGAGAAACAGAGGACAATGATAGAATGGCCCAAAGGAGCCCTGGGCTAGACCCAATTTGGGCCCCTAACCTGCTAGTCCAGTAGGACCAGTAACCCATCTATTCTGGGCCTTCTGGCTAGTGCTAGATTTCAAACTAAAACAAATTTGATTGGGCTGGGAGACTCCGTTGTGGGCTTGCATGCATCCTTCTCTTCTGTTACCATTGCGGAAGACAAATTGGAGGGTATTCCATGCAAATGTCACAACTTGCACACAATGTTTGAGGCCCAATTGTTCTAGGCCAAAAAATTTGAAAGGCCTAGAAATCCAACAAAGCAAACAACTCAGCGAAAGTGGTTGCTTAACCATCTAAAATTAATTTAATTGGTATTATTTTTTGTTAATTCAATGATAAAGAGTCGAACCTGATTAATGTAAACAAAATTCAAACTCCAAACCAAACCGTAACCTTTTTCTTATTAAATTATACTAACTATATATTGCGTATTACAAGTTGTATTACTTTTAGGTGAAAAAAAAAATACTAATTCACGGGATCCACGATAACATTGCTTGTACATCATCATAGGAGAACTAAACCCTTAACCAATCCTTAAGTAGAGTGCCGTGTTGGTTAGGATCTCGAAGTGAGGGCGGGCGTCGGTCTCGTTGGGGGGAGTTGGCCAGCTAACGACCAAAATAATACTTTTTCAGCTGTTCTACGGAGCGCCACGTGTGTATGTATTTATTTTTTCTGTTGGTATTTAGAAAAAATAAAAAAAGGGGCCTTGCAAACCCTATGCTGACGTTGGGCTTTCGGCTTTTCCAACCAATCATTTCTGCTGACCTTTTCTATACGTTTTGTCTCAACATATCACTCTCGGATGACTCCAAGTCACCGTCTAATCTACCCACTCAAGTCCCAACTTGATCCATATGTTTCTTCTTTGACCCAAAGCCCCTGACTCTGGTCAAGATGATGAAAGCAAAATGCCTTAATTTCTCATGTAATTTGTTCATGACCATGACCCCCCCAACCCCCTCCTTTCCCTTGTTTAAAATATTTGATCATTCCATGAATATTTAACAAGCCATGATTGATGTCAGGATAACCAAGTAATGAAAGACAAAGCAAGTCAGTTGAGTTGATTTCCCGAATCTAGTATCTTCAAACTCTTTTCCTTGTTATTTAGTGGTGGCTTTTGCTATAATTAACGTCCGAGAGCTCTGAGCAGAAGCCTCCCTAACGTGGGAGTTAAATGACGAAGAAAGAAAGCAGAAGGTGGTGAAGTTAATGATTCTAACAGCCCAAACATTGATTGATTTCAACTCTTTAACTCCATATTAATCTGGATAGTGATGTGGTTTTTTTTTTTTTCGCAGTAGCTAAGCTAGAACAAAGAAAAACAATGAACTTTCTCTGAAATATGAACCACAGCTTTTGGTCCCATATTACTGTCATGACCTGCCTTTCTTTATGTTTCACCTGTCACCAATGCCCTGCCAGTTGCTTCTAAATCAACACCCCCCCAGCCCTGAAATTTAAGTAAACAATTCAATGCCATGCTTAAAAATTGGGTAAGAACCAATTATAGCTCCGAAGGCTCTTCATAGGTAATTTTATGGTGTAGATATATTGAAAAGAGTAATTTACAGCAGATAGAAAATGGAACAAGTTTGTGAATAGACTAGCCAACAACAATCGCATTTTCTTTTGTTTTCTAGCCTGTTTGGATAATACGATTACTCCATCGAGGAATATTGAAACAACCCATATTTCTGCCCTCTTGAAAATAAAAAATAATAATAACAATAATAATTATACCATAAGATAATTCCAGGACATTTTGATAATTTTCCACTTGCTAGGTGTTCTGCTAATTTAGTGCAAGGTGAGAAACTGTTAGCAGAATACCGTTCAAGCTAAGACACATCATATGATAAGATAATTCAATAATTAACTTTTATCCATCTCTTTATAAAGTTGATAAGTTAAGATATATACGACATGTTACTACTAAATTATCAATGTCATGATAACAGTATTTTGTGATTAATCACATTTTAGTGATAAATGGACCTGATTAATTCAATGTCATCATGCTTCTGATCCTTAATCTTGTTGCTGGCTTAGCCGTTGATTTCTTTTTTTTTTTTTATAATTTTTATAAACATAAACCTAACAATTCAGGGCCAATATCCCTGATCTGGTCCATGATGGACCATGAGGATAATTTGTTTTGAAAACATGGCGGTAAATTAGCAGTTAAACTGTTGTTGTTAATGTCTGAACAGTTGCGATTATCTCAAGGTTTAAGATATTAATGCTAATAAAAAAATTTGGTTATGAAAATCTTTTCTGATCTGATTAGCAAAGCTGAACACCCTCCCCTGTGGGACCCACCGCATTCAATGGTTCATTGTTTAAGGAAGGATCTCCGGGGAGGAACCCAAACCCAGGCGCTCCTTGACCCTCCTCTTTCCATTAGAACAATATCTTTGTAGTTTAACAGGTACAGGGATATTTGTATTCCAGTGCCAGCATTTTGTTGATCATCTTCTTTATTCACTAAGCCATTTTCATTTGTTTCTTTGTGCTAGAAGCCTAGCTCAAGCCAGGCCATGGCCACTGAGGTAATAAACCAGTCTTGTTTTCTTATTCATTTTCTATTGGTTCTGTTGATCATGCATGTGCAACTTTCCATGATCTTTTGTTCTGATTGTTTTTGCTCTTTGCTGGCAATTAAGAATCGGTTTCTGGGTTTTATCTTACATTTAACTTTCCTGGTATATTCCTTTCGTTTCTTGGTTTATTGCTCATCTCATTTGTGGTTGGAAATAGAAACCGAAAGGATACCGGTGTTGCAGTAATAGTAACTATGAATACTGGCTCAGTGGGGAGTCCGACTTTTACAGATTATTAGAGAGACGAAAAGAGGAATACTCAATCTGAAAGCATTTTGAGTGCTTTCTTTGGGGATACTAAACTGTTTTCATGACTTTTTTCTCATCATGGGTAGTATTTGATTTCAATTTTAGAGAAAACAGCTATTGAGATATGCTCAAAATTCTGATGCTTAAGGAGCGTATTGAGTAGGGACTTCATCTCAGAAGCCTTCTCTTGTTAGCACTAGACAATTACTGATCTGTGATTCCACCGACAGTCTTCCAAAAGAAAGGACAAAACATAAATAAATGGAAGTAGAGAGCTGAAAGTGTATCAAAAGCAATTCATGGTCACAGCTCAGATTTGAATCCAGGCTTCTGATATCTTCACAGCACGAGATGTAGTCTAAACAGGGAGAATTGTGCTGCTGGACTCCGGACCTTATCATTATTAGTAATCTAATTCGTGTTGCTATTAGATTTTAGTGTCAAATTTAAAGAAGTAAATCCAAAGTAATGTTGATGTTTCACTGCTACATTTTAATTGATGAATCTTCCCAGAATCATGAGATGTCGAACGGCTGGCCACTTGGGCTACAGATAATGACCATGAGGCTTCGGTTACAAGAAAGATTACAGGCTGCAGCTCCAGCGGTGGAACCATACTCTTTGCACATGCCTTCAAGCAGTTTTTCCTCATTCGCCTCCTCCAACCTTGACACCGAGGTAATTCCAAGCAACCTTTTCTTCCTCCCTTGTTCTACACTCTGAGCAGACATAATGTACTTGTGATATACCATCTGCTCATGTTTCTTCCATTGCGGAATCGGCCCAGTCCTCAGCATCATTTTTCCAAGACAACAGCGTTTCTCTGGGGAGACTAATTGGGTTCAGACCACGCGACAGAGGAGCACTGTACTTTCAGAACACAATCCATGCTGAAGAGAACAACAGGCTACCTGTAACAGGTGCCTGCAAGGATGTCTCCAGACGACACAATTCAGATATGTCTCAGGGAATTTGCATCCCTCTGATACTAGGTGCTCTGGTAAAGATGAGCAGGATTAGGAGCAAGTCAAAGCCATTGGAGGATTGAGGGTGAAGAAGCCATTCGATTTTCTTTAATGGCCATGGCATAAAAAATAATAATAATAAAACCCTCATTGACCACCTCTACCAAATTCTTTTCTGCCGGGTATTCAGAAATTACCCATTAATTGTAAGATTGTAACCTTAACAATTTTATTAGTATGGAATTCTTGATTTTCACAGCATTATTTAGAGGGTAGAAAATGGAATCAAGTTAATCTAGAGCTGCATTTGTAAAAATGCAAGGAAATTAACTCCGCAATTTGTCTTGTTAATCGTAAGTTGGCTGCATATTGTAGCATAGCTTTATTACTTTTAATCAATAGAAGTTCCCATTGTAATGGATTGTCAAAAAATAAAATAATCCATTGTCAAGACTACTACATCAGCCACGTGGAAGAAAAATCCACGTGTCAGGTAGATGCGCAAGAACCATATGAGTTTCCATACGAGCATATACACAGAAAACATCAGCGCTAAATTGTAAAACCCTTCGAAATCTCAAAACCCCCGCACGACTACACAAACCTTCTAAAATCTCCACCACCAGAAACATGTCCGCCGCCAGGTCCGTCCTCCGTTCCGCCGCATCCCGAGCGACCGCTGCGACTAAACTCGCCGCCGGACCCAAGGCAGTGCCGCGACCCGCTTGCTCTCCCTTTCGGGTCTCCAAGCAAAGCCCGCTCTCTTCTCGCATTTTCAGGTAATGGATATTAATCCCTCTCTTCAATTTGTTTAGGAAATCAATTAATGATACCAATTTAGAGTTTTGAATAAATTTGAAAAAGGTCACCGGTGGAGATGAGCTGCTGTGTGGAAACCATTTTGCCGTATCACACAGCCACTGCTTCGGCTTTGCTGACTTCGATGCTGTCCGTCTCTCGACGGAGCTCCGGTTGGGCCCCTGAAGGTAGTTCCATCCACTCTTTTTTCATGTTGGTCTGTTTCTTTTTTTGGGTTTTCAAGGCATTGTAACTTTTTAACTACGTAGAAAGTTTGCGTCTTCATATGATTCAATGAAAGTTGAATGAAGTGAGATGTAGTGCTTCTTCGAGTCATAGTTCCTACTGGCAAGTATTTGCTCCTTAGTGACAGAAGCAAAATGATAAAATTCAAATTTTTTTAAGGATTCCTAAACCTAAACTCTGCGGTGTACCAAATGATAAGCTTAATTTTTTCCATATCATTTCATTCTTTATTACATATTCGAAGGCAGAAAAGATGTTGGAGGCAAAATACCAAGTAGAAACATGGTAAAGTGACACTCTTGGCTGTTAAATAGTCATTTGCTAGAGAACACTTAATGAAGCTAAGTTTGGAGAAAGATTACTCCGAAAACATGTATTAGAAGCTAGAATTAATGATGGAAAGCAGGCTCCCTCTGTGAAGTATGAGCGGCCCATAAGTATTGTTGTAGATGAGCATCAACCGCTCAAAACAGTAGGCAAATGTTGCATGTTTGTATTCCCTGTGTCACCTCTTTTTTTTTCCCTCTCTTTTCTTGGATAGGTAATCATTGCTCCTCTGTCTCGTAAATAAATGAAAGAATGTAAATTCTTTTCTCATTTTGTAGGGCAAGACAAGACTAGATGAAGGCAAGCACAGAGGGAGTGGCTTGTATTAGAACTCATTGTTAAACTTTGGGAACTGAAACTGAATTTTTCTTTAGTAGTTTAGTTGGGGAGATCATCTTTCTGAATTAATGTAAAAAGACAAGAGGTTGAATGCTATGTCTTGTAATTTCTTTGGTTTAGAGATTACCGATGAAATCTTGTTCAAATAGTTTTTAAACAAGTTAGCTAATCGATCCTGAAATTACTGTTAAACTTCTGAAAATTGGAATCAATTTATGTAGCTTGCTATTGTGTTTGTTTGTTTTCTGGATGTTTAGACTTAATTAAAAATATGCATTTTATGGATTGGAAAGGGTCAAAAGGCCTTTATGATGCACATTAGTTGTAAAAATACTAAATGCATGAAATCTGACACTTCTTTCAGTCGGTAAGGGTGTTGCTTGTGCATATTTGAGCCGAACTTGTTATTTGGCTGTTAATAAGTGTTCCAACTTAACTTGAACTAAACCTTATTTTCATTCTTATTCATGCCAGCGTAAGGATATAAGACCAATAATGATTTGTTGTTTCACTCAGATTGCAATGATGATGTATGATGAATGTTGGAGAGTTCGGGCAAAGTTTTTGATAAATGCACTCTAAGACAAGGTGGTGGAAAAAAGCTTTATAGTAGGCTCTTAGATACTTTTTCCTTCTTAAATTTTTAACAAGGTGATGAATAACATTCTTATTAGTCGACAAGTGGGAAGGAATTAAGTCCTAAATATATGCTTATGGAGGTTTTGTAATTGAAAGATAGAATAGGATACAATGATGATGTTTTGTTATTCTATTAATGTTCATTGCACTTAATTTGAAAGCACTCTTTATATTTGGGGGCTGTAATGCATAATTCAAATACCCTCCCCCCATTTTATCTCTGAAAAAATTAAATTTTGTTCTGGTATTGACTAGTTTGTAGTCTCCAGAAATACTAGTTGTTTCCACATATTTTGCAGTTCTTGGAAATTGATTATTTGAGAATGGCACGTGCTCCCACCATCGTGCTGTTCCAAATCCTAGATTGTGAACCTATAACCTTCCTATCACTGCTACCTTCCACTTCCGTTGTTCATGTTCATTTACCTTTAACTTGGGCTGTTTTAGGCTTATGAACCGCACACACTTATGGAGTCTACCTTGGGAGGTTGTAGTTGTATTCCCTCTGTTCTAATTCTCACTTTTGTGTTTCGACAGTAGATATGTGATTTGACCCTTGATAAAATCCAGTAAAAATGAGAACTAGAACAATATTGTTGATCTTGTTTTGTATGGATAAAATAGTTATGCATTTCTAATACCATGCACCCATTTTTCTTGTTCTGTAGATGGATGATTGTGGTTGGGATGCGGTGAATTCTTCATCTCCATGAAAATTCAATCGACTTTGTAGGGACTTGATGCATTATTTCCCCTTGGTCAAATGTGAAAATCAGATGTTATGCAACTTTCGTTTCAAGAGCATCTGGAAGTCGGTATAAGATGGAAAATCGATCATTTTTTATTCTGATAATGTTAATTACCAGTTATCACTAGGCTTAATTTTTCTTCCTCCTTTCCTTTAAATAATGGAAGTTCTGCCTTTTCTTTGTGACTTTATCAAATGGGGTAGGCTTGTATCCACATGGATGACTACCTAACCTTACCATGATCCGCCAACTGCGGTAGAATTGGCCAGCCGCCAGCTTAGTCTAGTGTTAAATAGCGTTAATTTCTGCCTGATACCCGAAAGTTAGACATGTGATGTTGCTTTAAATTCAGAGTAGTTTAACCGACGGGCTCTGAGTCTATTGATTCTTTACTCATGATTCTCCATGAAAGCTGGTATAATACACATATATAGCTTCCTCTTTTTTCACCAAAAAGAATAAGAAAACACTAATGAAGGCTACCCTTTACAAATATGACCAGTACTATGAAAATTGTGTACATCAAAAGAACATGACCAGTAGCCAATCTGCCCTTTGAACAGTCGTAGAAACAAAATTATGATTTTCCCATGAAAATCACCTCACGGTTCTGTCTTAACTCTCGACAACGGAGGAAACTGGAAACGTATGGTAAGCAGTTAAGCGGGTACAGCACGGGTCAGAAGTCAAGGTCAATGGAGGTGAGCCGGTCTCCCTGGGGCCTGGGCGGTAAACCAACGCGTAATTTCGCAGCTTTGATCCGGTCAACCAACCCTCCATCGATTGCAACATTATTTTTGGGTCCATTGACCTCACAAGTAGTCTTTCTAAGCATAGCATTTATAGGAGGGAGCTCTTCTAGCTTTGCAGGAAAGCTGAGACGATAGCAATGGACTCTTCAAGACTGGCGTTGCTATTCTTTCTCGTTTCTATCCAACTTTCTGCTCTCACATCTGTTCAGTCAGAAAAGCTCCTTCGACTCTGTTCGACCCAAAGCAACTTCACCATGAATAGCACCTACGGGAACAATCTCAAACACCTCTTTTCCACCATTACCTCCAACACCCAGATAGACTACGGTTTTTACAACGTTTCTTATGGCCAAAACTCTGACAAGGTCAGTGCTATAGGTCTGTGTAGAGGAGATGTTAAGCCAGATATTTGCCGTAGTTGCATAACTAACGCCACTAATGAGTTCACAGAATACTGCCCTAACCAGAGGGCCGCCATTGTTTGGTACGATGAGTGCATGTTGAGATACTCAAATCGTTCCATATTTGGTGAAATGCAATTCCAACCTGCTCTGGTAATGCAAAATGTCAACAATGTCTCCAACGTAAATCAATTCAATCAGGTGTTGGCAACCTTGCTGGATGGCCTTAGAACTCAAGCGGCCTCTGGCGATTCCCTTCGCAAGTTTGCAATAGGGAATGCTACTGTTTCCAACTCGCAAGCTATGTACGCATTGGCTCAGTGCACTCCTGATTTGTCCCAAGTGGAATGTAACAATTGCCTGAGTAATGCCACGGAATTACTTCCACAATGTTGTAGTGGGAGGCTAGGAGCCAGAATTCTGACACCAAGCTGTACTGTTAGGTATGAGAATTATATCTTCTATGGCCCTTCGTTTGATATGCCACCCCCAACGATGTCACCAGCATCACCGCCGGTTGATGACGTACCATCTGATGCACCGCCACCATCTTCACTAGTGACAACAGCGGCTCCTCCCCAGCAACCTAATCTTGCTACCAGAAAAGGTAAACCATACTCCCTTGTTAGTTATCCATGTCTCGTCTTTCATCACCATCAAGCAGGTCCCTCTTGTTTGTTCATTTATTAGTAATTTTTCAAGCTTTGTTTCTGCATATCGACTAACCATCAACCAAATATATCTCTGGATTTCGCAGGTAACACGAACTGCTGCAGATTTCAAGTCCTGGCTCCAATGGTTTCATTTGCAATACTTTATATTTTGAAATCTCTTTAATCTAAAGAAGTAGGAAGCTGTGAGATCAAAGATCTTTTACTCATTACTTGCTAGTTTATGTCGCCTCTTCAGCAGCACTTGTATTTTATGTATGGAAAATCGAGAATTGAGAGCTTGCAATCATACTTTCATTTAAAGGTCATATGACATCAATTTCTAGCGTTTGAAGCAAAGAAAAGGGGAAAAAGAATCTCAAAATAGAAAGATTTTACTAGCAATGCTTAATTATATAAATCCAGATAGTTTGATCACAAGAAAGAAGCATGTAATATATAATTGGCCAGAGTTAGAATTCTCTACTAACCCGTGCTATTTTTTCTCTTTTTCTTTAATTTCCATGCTGAGCCATCAGTCTTCTCATTGACTTGTTCTTGCTTAGTGAAAAACTCCTTCTGGAAACGAAGTATTTGTCGTTGTACCATGAATCAAGATGGACCCCAACTGACAGAAGTTATAATGAATTAAAAGTTTATATAGATGGGTCACTAGTTAAGGTAGATAACACCTCACTAACTGATAAACCATAAATAATTAAAGCCATACTAATTATCCCAAAGTGAATAATAATGATTTGTATTATCACAATGTTTGGGTAAGTTAATGCTTATGCAGATAACAATCACTAAGATAACGATTATCTAATTAATACCTAGAGATAAGTACATAGTATTTATATCCCTAATTAAGAAGCATAGTGGTAGCATTAATAGAAGGAGAGCCTTGGATGTGGAAATCCCATTCTCCATTGAAAAGGTGTGACGTACAGTAGCAATGGACTCTTCAAGACTAGCAGTCTTGTTCTCTCTCGTTTTCATACGACTATGTGCTCTCACATATGCTGAGCCGGAGAAGCTGTTTCAAGTCTGTTCGTCCAAAAGCGACTTCTCCCTGAATAGCACCTACGAGAACAACCTTAATGACTTAAATCTCACCACCATTACCTCCAACACCAAAATAGACCATGGTTTTTACAGTGCCTCTTATGGCGCAGACTCTGATAAGGTCAATGCTATAGGTCTGTGTAGAGGAGATCTTGTGGCAGATATTTGCCGTAGTTGCATTAACGATGCCATTAATGACTTCGCAGAACACTGCCAGAAACAAAGCGAGGCCATTGTCTGGTATGATGAGTGTATGCTTAGATACTCAAATCGTTCCATATTTGGTAAAATGGAGGTCGAACCTTTTCGTTCACTCGTCAATGTCAACGTTATCAACAATGTTGCCGACGCAACTCATTTTAATCAGGTCTTGGCAACCTTGTTGGATAGGCTTAAAACTCGAGCGGCCTCCGGCCGTTCCCTTCGCAGGGTTGCAACAGGGAATGCTAATGTTTCCAAGTCGCAGACTATATATGCAATGGTTCAGTGCACCCCTGATTTGTCCCCAGAGGATTGTAACGAGTGCCTGAGAAATGTCACTGAATCACTTCCACGATGTTGTAATGGGAGGAAAGGAGCACGAGTTTTGACTCCAAGTTGTAATATTAGGTATGAAAATCATCTCTTTTATGGCCCTTTGGTTGATATGGCACCCCCAACGCCTTCTCCAGCGCTGTCTCCATCGTCACTACCGGCTGATGCACCAGCATCAAGCACACCACCGGTTGATGCACCAGCATCACCACCGGTCGATGCACCAGCATCACCACCGGTCGATGCACCAGCATCCCCACAGGTCGATGCACCAGCATTCCCACCGGTCTATGCACCAGCATCCCCACCGGTTGACGCACCAGCATCCCCACCGGTTGATGAACCCGTATTACCGCCGTTTGATGAACCAGTATTACCGCCGGAGGATTATGACTCACCACTATTACCACCATATGATGCATCGTCACCACCACCCCCAGAGCCACCAGCGCCTCCTCTGCGGCAACCTGATCATGCGACCGGAAATGGTAAATCATACTTGCTTTAGATTACTTGCTAACGTATCATCCCTTTCATATTTTTAAAAAGTTGAGAATTCATTTAGAAAAATTAATCTAGAAAGATTAATAACATATAGTAACTACTACAAATTATGGATATAATTAATCATTTTATTTTACATGGAAATTTATTAGAATTTGAAGAGAATATCAACTTGTTCACTCACTGTGTGAAGTTATATTTTTGCATATTGTATTCATCTTGTGAATTTGCCACTGGCGGGGATTCAGGCTCCCCTGTTTCTTGACCAACCATCAATCAAATAACCATTTCTGGATTTTGCAGGTGACATGAACAGCAGATTTCAAGCTCTGGGAACAGTGGTTCTGCTAACGATTTTGCAATACTTAGCATTTTGAGGTCTCGTTCATTTAAAGTAGGAAGATCTGATTAGTTTTTGATCTGATTAGCTGTTAGTATGTAGCCCGTATTTTACATTTTTAAGTAAAAGTCTCTTCAGTAGGTACTAGTACCAGTAATTTTTGTGAATGGACTTTTGCGAAATGGGAAATTGCAATGATGCCTAGCATTTTAAGGTCATTGATAGTAAATACTTGAAATTCAAAAGGCATCTCATTATTTATGTTCCTTAATTTCTGAAACAAGCTACATGCAACTCTACCATGAACCACGAAGTAAGTTATATAAACGAGTCATACGTCAAGGTCATGGATGGGTGCGGCCCTCTGATCACTGAAGCCGCTAGCCCGCCATGTTTAACGCAGGCATGCAGCTGATAAAATCAATAAGAAATTTCCCAGCTTTGATTCTGTGATTTATTTGATAAACCAGTGAGGTTCACCCTGCTCAAACTAAAGATTAGAAAAGCAATAATCTATTCAGTCTTTTACCTGCACGAATTGGTTAGATTCAATAACAATAAACACAGCAGTGTTTCCTCAACTAGAAACGCTCCAACCATGCTCAAGTCAAAAGCTATATCTGGCCTTTACGGGTAAGATGGACAACAGATTCCAAATTCTGGTTACAGTGGTTCCATTGATGGAATTTGCAATATTTTCATCTATCAAATCCTCATCAACCCAAGAAGATGTTTGAAGAGAGTGTGGGATGTTTAATTGGTTTCTTGTTAGTTAAAATGATGTGTGCTGTGCCTTACATTTCAAGTGAAACATATAGAAAGCAAAAGGCCACTTTAGATGGCATATATATAGCAATGATCTCTGAGCACATGTCCTGATTGTTCAGCCCTGGTCCATTTCACCATCCAAACAAAACCAAAATGCAAAAGTAAAGTCTAATGTATGGACATTTAGGAATTGAAATACTTGCAAGGCCATCTTTCAACTTTGAAGCAAACATTTTGAAGAACCAACGAGACTTGAGTATTTAAAGCAACAGAGAACTAAAAACTCGATACAGAAGGATTTTTACTATCCACACTTAAAAATCCCAGATGCAATTTGATCACAAGAAACAGTCTTCTTCATACTTAACTACTAAACTAAACTATTAGATGTTAAACGTATAAACCAGAAAGATCAACCATCAGCAAGATTTGTATACCAAGCCCAACACTTTCACAATGAAAATTGTACCGTAATAGCATCTCACCAACATTACAAAGAGTAAACAAGAATCATTAGGCCACTTCATAAGAACCTCCTTCGGTATTTAATCACTGAGGTCCATGCAGTCTCTATCATTCTTCAACTACATTAACCAACTCATACTCGACAAGAGATAGATTGTTATCTTCTTTAACAACAAAGTTAGCAGGATCAGCGACCTCAATGCGGCCCCATTTGTCAACAGCCAGCCTCATAGAACCCTTAAACATATCAATCTTTGCATTGCGAAGAATTACAGTGGCACCTGGCTTCATCAAGTCAACTGCAATATGATTCAAGCATCATCATAATCATCATCCACAGGTCAACCATTCTCCCAACCCACCACCCCCCATGAATATATGATTGGGTGAAGTGTCTTTCTCCAAATAAATTCATTAAGCAAAATGCAAAGGAAAACCCAATACATGCACCCACAACATCTAAATGCAAATACTAAGCAGTTTCAAATGTTTGTCAATGAGTGGCAGATGCTGTGACTTCTGGAAACCCAACAACTAAAATACATTAAAGATTTGAACAGCAATTCAACTAACAATTAGGTTCTTGATTATTTCACCATATAATCTTTGAGGTTTTCAGAATATTTTGAATTGGGAAATAAAAGAAGCTAAAATCAACACAAGGACAAATAGATTCAATCACAATATAATAACAGAATAAGAAATTATTTCACTTTGACAGAGATTTACCCCACCAATCAATAATATATCAAGAAACTTAAGTCATGGAACCAAACTAACATCACAATACTAAATAAACCTTAATGACAGCTAAGATCCTAGATCATATCAAAACCAAACCAGCGATAACAAAACAACGAAATAGAAAGGCTTCCAAAATGCCACTCTATTTCATCTTTAAAACAAGCCAACAAGAAAAAGAAAACCAACGGAAAGATCAAAAGCTCTGGCGTCAAGTTATGAAACGAACTATACCCTTTTGAGAGAAATTAAGATCAAATCAGTAAAACATAAAACTTTTAAGAGAAACAACAAAAAGGGGGGGGGTCTAGAAATTGGACCTTGATCGTTACGAGCAGTGAAGAGTATGGTGCCGGTCTCGTCTCCAACAAGGCACTCAGCGATGCGGGTTTGGCGGAGATGTTGAGAAGCAGCTCGACCCTTTTGAAGGACCATGTTAGACGACAAGACCTTGGCGATTAAGGTGTGGCCGTTGGTCCCTGGCTTTAGCTGATCCACTTTCACAAACACCGGCTTTCTCTTCTCTGTTGTTTTAATTTGTTCTTGTCCTTGCTGCTGCTGCTGTTCTTGTTCTTGTCCTTGCTGCTGTCCTGTCGTCGCCATTGATTTCAATGTTAAAACCTGTCTTCTCTTCTTTGCTCCTCTTCTTCTTCTTGTTTTTCTCCTCTTTACTTCTGTTTCAGAGCTTGTGGGAGACTGAAGAAATGGGGAAGCCCTAGCACAGAAATTGAAGCATACCTATGTTTCTCCTAAACTGAAACCAGTATTACACGGCGTCGTTTTGGTTACTTTATAAATTTTGATGGCATTTTTCCTCTATGAGTTGGTCTTAATTTTGGATAATAAGTACTAATGTCTTTTTGTAATTAAACAATGGGTTTTAATTAATGCTTGTCCTAATCTTTTGATTAAAATACATAAGGCGCCCCTCTTTCTACCACCCAAGGGATGTTCTCCCACTAAAGCTAAAATTGTTTTAAATTATTATGAAAAATATGATGCATGATACTAGTAATTTAAGCATGTAAAATTTTTTTTAAATGTATGGGGTGGATAGAAAGTTTGGAAATTCCTATTTTGGCAAATAAATAGGAGTATAGGTTAATGTGTTGTCTAATGTAATCCACACTCTTTAAAGTGACTAGTTTTGTTAAGAAGTCATTATCAAATATTGATGAAAAATAAATTAATTTTATATGGAACTATGGTAGTTTATCTTCATCAACTCCTTCTCTTTGGAATACAAACATTCAACCACATACCTATTTGCAACCTTTACCAAGCCGTAAATGAAGACTTTCTTTAATTAAAAAAATGATAAATTAGAGGGAATGATATTAAAAGCACTTGTTAGTAGCATATTTTTTAAGATATAATGTTTTAAAAAGTTTTTAAATTATTACAAAATTTAAATATTTTTGTATTTCTCATTAAATTTAATTATATTTTTATATTTTTATTTTAAAATAAATATAATTTTATAATTAATAATTAATTAATTATTATTAATCAAAATATCACTTTTCATATACATGTCATGCTAACACAATGTAATATAAAAAAAATAAGTTTTGATTAAAAAATAATTAATTATAAAAATTTATTTGATAAAAATATAAATATAAATATTTAATTAAACATAATAATTATTTTACAAATTTTATTTTAAATAGGAAAATAAAAGACCCTAAACAACTATCCTTGATCACATAGTAGATTCCTAATTTGACATATTTAGAGTTTTTCTAAAACATTCCAAAATGGGTTTTTTTTCTTGATCAAGGAATTGTTAATTTTTCCTAATTTTATGACTACTACAAAAGGAAGGAGGGGATAAGATAGATGAACATCAATGCATTTATGGAGATTTTATTTGTATTATATGATACTTTAGTAATGATACCTTAATATTTATGAGTAAAGGCCTAAAATTTACAGAATACCGGAAAACACGGGCGGATATATATTGAAAAAGAAAAGGACAGCTAGTTACCATAAAAAAGGAGCAAGAAACTAAGAAAGTATATAAATAGTAAAGCAAAGAAAAGAAAAACAGGAACGTTAGTAAAAAACAAGGAGAAGAACCCGGTATTCGCTCTACGTCACCTCTTGTCTAGTGGTCTTTACCACCACCACCTCATCTCTCTCTTTCTCTCTCTCTCTCTCTCAATTCAATCGTCATTTTCTGAAGCTTCCTCTGATTAAGATATTTTTTTTAATTAAAAGAAATAGTACAATTTTTTAATCATAAAATCATGCACCATCAGTAAACAATAATCTACCTTCTCTCTTTCTCTCTCTATCTTTCTTTCTTTCTTCTCCTTTGAGTTGAAGGTTATTGAGATCAACAAACCCATAGTTCTCTCAAGTATATAAGTCAAAGAAAAAAAAACCCATCCTTAAGCTGATAGTAGATAGATTTTTCTTTGTTTTGAAGTTTTTGTTTTGGTGGTTGGTAATAATAAATAAATATTAGTTTTTGTTAAAATATCCAAGACCAAGCTCTACCTTTGGTCTTTCAATGGATTCCGATTTCTGGACGTCTCGTCTTGCAGCTGCCAAACGCCAATATACGTTGCAGCACCATCAGCAGAGCTCTCATTTGGGTTCGTTTTTTTTTTTTATGTTTGATCGGGGTTTTTATTTTCTTTTTTTCTTATTATGCTGGTTGTCTTTCTGTCTTGAAATATATCTTTCTCTCTCTATATATATAAAAGATCGTTTGAGCATCGATGATTTTGAGGTAGACGACGAGGTACGACCCGATTTCCCATGTCCGTACTGTTACGAGGATTTCGATATTGTGTCCCTCTGTTCGCATCTCGAAGATGAGCATCCCTGCGAGTCAAAGGTTACGGTAAGCAAGTTCCATATTATTATTACCAGTAGCATAAAAAAAAAGGAAAAAAGTTTTTTTTTCTTTTTGGTTTAATAAATAGAGACAGAGAGATCTTTCTGTTTCCAGTTCGGGTTATGTTTGATGTAGTACGAGGTTGTTCTCGTAAGTTTTTGTCTATGGGTTTATTTTTATGGCGAAATTTCTAGTTTTCCTTTTATAGAAGAAGAAAAAGAAAATCTAATTTTGGTTGGATAATTTATTTTTCCTTATTCATCTTTATATTGTTGAAGGAATACTGGAAAAAAGGTCTTAACGTGTCGGTGTTGGCTGAAAAACGAATGAATTTGTGGCTTGGATTGCTATAGGGGCATCTGTTTGCACGTTCAAAAGGAATAATCAAATAACAGTCGCATCCTTTATACTTTCTTTTGCATCTTTGATTCATATGATCAAACTAAGGCTGTAGTAGCAACCGAACCAGTCAATCGAAAATTTCCAATTGATATGAACCTAGAAAAGAGTTGCTATCGTGGGTATTTTCTTGTTAGGCAAGCTGTGCAACCATCTGAGTAGGCTTCATTTTGGGATTTTTTTTTATTTCCTTTTGTGTCTCATTTGGCCATTCTATTGTTTCGCTAAACAAGATTGTAAAGGGATGAGACCACCATTTATCCATTTTTGTTAGATTAAATTATGAAAAGAGGGAGATTGATGCTTCCAGAATATGATGAGAATCTCAGACGCTAGTCTTGGTGCTCATGTTTGAACATGGGGTGTGGGGGATGAGAGAAACCTTTAGAATCTTTGATAGAGTTGTATTTTGTAACGTTTCTACGATGCTGCTGATGATTTTAGGACCGATATTCTTGGCTGTGGTTTGAAGGTTCGGGTATTGTATTGGACACTTGATTTGGAAGAAGAGAAAGTTCAATTGCTTTGATTCTATACACTTACCGTTGGGGTCAAAGGTGCCTGAATTGAAAGATGATTGGGATATAGAGGTCCTCTTTCTCTTTGTTGCTGAATTGGGGGAAAGTAGTAGGTATAGTTTTGGTGCCCATGTACAATGACATCACAGATTCTGATACCAAGTGGACTTGCTTATATCTGTTACTAGACAACCATAGCGACACCTGAGATAGTAAGAAATGAATCTAAAGGTATTCGTTTTAAGTGGAGTGTTAATATAGCATCTGCTATCACACTTTATAGATGAAACTTGAGGTCCTTGTGTAAGATAATCATATAGGTCATTTAGGCAGCAAAACTTATGTTGGAATTTGATAGAGTTTTGATCCAGTTCTTTTCATAATGAATTAAATTATATACAGAGGAGAATTCCCACTGGATATGGAGGAGCTTTAGCAGGATTAGTGATGTTATTTTCATGCAAGGGAAAGAATGCTCCATTCAACAGATACAATTGGAAGTTGCATACATGGAAAGGGACAAGAGTTATGATAGGTAGAGAATGTTATGGGCATTTAGTTTTTGCTATCGGTCATGGTAGAGGAATGAGCATTTGGTATTTTCCATTGATGATAAAGGTGGTTTGGATGTCTAATCATTTCCTAGGTATGAAAGAATAATAAACAAGTCTCACCCTTATTTTTTGGTCCATAGGAGATATTCTTCCTCTTTAGTACAAACCCTCCCTCCTCCCAAATCCCTAGTTAAGACAGAATTTTGAGCTCAGGTCCATGGTACAACCACCAAGAGACTTTACCAACTAAACTAGCGAGCACCTTAGACAAGTCTCATTATATTTCTTAGGTTTTCCCATATTATTCTAACTTTCTAATTGAGAGCTTTTTCACCGTAATACTTATTCTTTGAAAATTATATGGAGGAAAAAAAGTAGTAAACTCTCGTTTATTGTCTATACTTGTTGTACCTAACCTTAGGATTTATGGTGGAAAAAAGTTTCCATTGATGTTTTCATAATGAAAGAGTCTTATATGCATCAACGTTTATGTTGCAGATTTGTCCAGTTTGCTCGGTCAAAGTTGCAAGAGACATGCTAAGTCATATCATGCTGCAACATGGACATTTATTCAAGATATCCTTAATAATGGAACTGTCCATTACCTTGTCTCTCTGACTTGGATAATTATGCATGAAAAGCTTCTTTTGTTGTTCTGTATTTACTGAGAAAAAATGAATTGTTAAGCAAGTTTCCCTTAACAAAAGGTTACTTGCAGAGACGTCGCAGGTCACGTAGAGTTGCAATTCCTAACAGTCAGGCACTGTCTCTCCTGGGACGTGATCTCCGTGAAGCACATCTGCAAGTACTTCTAGGGGGTGGTGGATATAGGTCAAGCAGTGCTAATGTGTCCACTGCAGCTACCGATTCATTCCTTTCATCACTCATTTTGAATTTCCCTGCATCTGAAGCAGATGAAGTTTCAAAATCTGTTGTAACAAGTGCTGAAGACACTGCTGCAAAAAATGTTGCACCAGCACATATGTGGAAATCAAGGTACTGGTTCAGATCTTTTCTACAGTAGAGAAATTCAATAATATTCTAACATTTTCCTAGTCCTTTATCTTTTTGTTAAGATTCATTTAAGTATGCAACTATGATGCAATTCCAATAACCAATCCAAGGGATCCCCTTTTACCAAGTGGAAATAATATCTGATGGAGGTTTGCAAGATCTTTTGCTGCATGAGTTGTGGACAGCCTTTAACATGCGAAAGAACTTAATCATTTTTTCCTTCATCTGCTACGATTTAATTATATTTATGCTGATATCCATTTCAAAATATTCCTCTATCGACTGTCCAAAGTATAGCCTGATGCTTTTTAAAACTCTTCTACAGGCCAAGAAAACTTTATAAACATTTCCGTTTCCCATTTGTCAAAATGGAAATCTTGTGTGAATTCAATTAAACTCATTCTAGAAATTGTTAATCTTGACGTTTTCATCTGACTGTCTAATCGACATTGACAAATCATCGTTTAGAGAGGCTACTTTGTGGTTCAAAGTAAGGGGTTACCTTAGGGTATCATCTATCTAACTATCTCGAGAAACCAATTGGAAACCTTTGATGTTGAGATTCGAAGCATCTCTTATCTTATCATGTCTCAATTATTTAGAGAAACTGTCTGATATAATTGAGATTTAACATCTGTTTTCTTTTACTTTTTCTCTTATGCAGTTTTGATCCTTCTTTGAGTTATGAAGAGCGGGAAAAAAGGATTAGGCAAGCCACAGGAAGAGCTGGTTTCGTCCAAGATCTGCTGTTGTCAACTTTGTTAAATGACTAACAAAAGCAGTAAGTCAAATGAAAAATAATGGAGTTATCAAAATCTCAGTGAGAGGCATTTCTGGGTAGGATTCTAATGATTTTATAATGTTTGACAACCCAATGCAATGCATTCCTAGTCTGAATGTTGAAGCAACCCCTTGATGGCTTCATGATAAGATCCCCATCCTTTTTATAGGTCCTTTTCAACCAGAATTGTGCTATATTCTGGAGAAAAACGATGACGTTTTTGTTTATGGTTAACTTTAATCTATGCATTACTTCTTATCTTACCTTTAATAGATAAAGCTCTTTAATACAAGTTTCAAGCATAGCACCTTTTGTAGCACTTTACTTTGTGGTTGATTCCAGCTGAAGTGGACTGAACACAGAGAAATCCTGCAATTCTTAGTATGTAGGCAGGATTGGGTTTCAAATCCTTTATGCAACCAATTGAACCAAGGGACTTTTCGGTAAGCAAACCGGAACCTTTGTCTTGTAGTTGCATGGCTAAAACATGGGAATTGAAAGAGATTCTTCACCTAGCCTTGCTTGAACTCAGAACATTCATTCACTCACCTTAAACCCTCCTGCAAGACAACTAAATCTTATGCATCTATCAATGGAATTTCATTCGTACTAATCAGTTTCTAGTAATCAAAACATGAGTTTCCACTTTCTACTTCTGATAATCGGTTCACCAACAGAACTTACTCCAAAGCTCCACCCATCTCTAGCTTTGGCAGTCTGTCATCGAACCAGAAACAGAAGGTCAAAAGTGGAAAGCAAGTAGAACGTCAGGGACGAATACTAATACGACGGGCTAGTTTGCTGAGTTGTGAGGTTAGGACGGTGCGACCAAACACAAACTTTTGTGCAAACAAAAAGGTCAGTTTGGTGCATGCGGCGCCGTTACACGTGCGGACAGTTGCCATCGATCTCCCCACTGCGTGATCCACTGCAGTTTGTATGCATGTCCATCTCCCTCCTCCTTATTTGTAATATGACCCAATTTTAATACATCAACTCATGAGTCATGATGTTAATAAAAATTATAAGCCATTGGTTTCAGCTTCTGTTCATAGAGAGAAGAATAATGACTCACGGAGATCATGATCGTAAATCATATTCGAGGGTTGCTTCCTCTTTTGCAAAAAGAAAGTCATCCATATTAAACAAAGATTGAACCAGGTATAACAATCATTAGTCAAAACTGTTAAGAGCATAAACAGAGCCACTTGCAAAACAAAAGCCCCCAAAAGCCAACTAGAACCAGAAGTGCAACACCACGGGTTGGTGGCGGTGGGTCGGTTCTGTGGCTAAAAACTAAACCAAGAATGGCAGTTGGCAGACAGCAAAAATCAACGTCATTGGACCGATGGATAAAGTCGGTTCGCAAACACCAAATACTACTATAATAATATCAGTACCACATTCATCTCCACGCTTTATCTTTGACTTTGCTTTCTTTCCCCTACATCTCAGCTGCACCATTTCTCCATTCCACCCACCAAAAGCAACAGATCTAGCGCTCGCAATTCATTCGGGTGAAAGAATTGCATCAATTGGAAGAGTCGTTTTCAGCTCCCAATCACGCCTCGTGTATTAAAAATGTGAAAGTAATTGGAGGAATCTATTCTCTTGTCCACTTAGGGATATGGATGTGGATGTCAGACACTCGACACCCAAGTCCATTGTATAATTTTAATATAATTTATACAATCATCAGTTAATCGATTATCCAGTCGCTTTAAGAACACGTCCAATCATAAGCAGCGTCTAGCTCCAGGGGTTGCTCCACTTTTTTCTTATATTTGAAAGAGTTGAACAAGGTGAAAAAGGAAGTCTTTCTTTGTATTTCAGTTTTCTTGTGCTCTGTGTTCTTTGGCGTGGGAAGGGACTTTGGGTTCTGGTTGATTCCCAATGATGGTGGAGCTGTTTGTGTTGGGGTGTACGGGAGTTGTGGTCTTCCTTCACGGAGCCAATTTCTTCTTCCATATCCTCTCCCAACACTTCGCCGTTCGTTCTCTCAGGTTCGTTCAAGTTTTAACGGTTTCTATAATTCCCAGCCTCCTTTTCTTTGGTTTCATGATCCAAATTCGATTGGGTTAAGAATGTTTCTGATTAAGTTGATGTTTGTATATCTTGTCAAATAATCCTGAAAGATTATCTTATCATACCATGATCGAACTCTTCATCTGTAGCTTGAGATATATCTAATAAGTCCAAACTCCTCCTGATAAGCTTTGTCTAATCTTTTCCCCTTAATTTTGTTCTCAAACACACTTTCAGCCTCATAAATCTGGACTCTTTTACAGAATTTTTGGATTAAAATTTCTGGGTACAACTTTATCCCAAGCATTATTCTTCAGCTTTAGATTTTGTTCATGCAATTCTGATGGATTAAGACATAAGTAATGTTACTAATTAGTATTAATTCTAATGTTGGCATTTTTGTTTGGTTTCCAGTTTCTTGGGATTCGTTGGGTGGTGAACGGAACAGAAAAACAGAGATGATTAGTTTTCTTCACGCAAGCTGTGTAATGTGGATCATGGCAATTAATGGGAGCTCTGCACATGCCGTGACGCTTTGTAAATACTTACTTATAAGGTAGAAGTAGATTTTAAGCATAAAGTAATGATAATTTTATATTCCTAAAGCAAAGATGCAAGGCTTTACCCAAATTTAGAGCGGAAATCATCTTGTGTTACTCTCTCTACCAAAATTCGGCATCAATGGTATCCTTCAAGTTTCATTGCTGAGCTTATATTGTTCAATATAATTGAGATTTCTATGTTCTTCTAGAATATGATGTTGGTATGTTTTGTAAAGTGGCCAGTCTAGTGGTAGGAAGGTGATAAACTGACAATGATTGAAGCACCAAAAATGTTGCAAATTTTACAAGCAAATGGATTTGGTGATGTTTCAACCCACGTGATGCACCAACTCTCTCATTGTTCTTATTGGGTTTTTGCTTCGGTGGAACAATTTTTTCCATGTAGAGTTGAGCAAGTGAAAATCCAAGTGATGAGCAAAGAGAATTTAGTGCAATGAATCCAAGCATCAAGTAATCACCATCACAATTAGGCATGCTCCCCTCAACTTTATCCATAATGTTTTACTACCTGTTTGTTAACTAAATTGAATGGTTTCATTAAATTAAATGAGGCTTAAATCTGAAGAAAAGTCACCTTTATAATGATCAGTTATTCAACTAAACAATCCATTGAATTTTGATTTTGTTTTTACTTATATGATTTGACGAGTTGATGTAACTATATAATCAAATAGCTTAAAATTTTTAAAACATGTCAACTTGTTAAGACATATGCTGTATGAACGAAAAAGTTAATTGTCATTATTGAAATTTTATTGGAATTTAAATTAAAGTTTAACGATTATTTGAATATAATAAAAAAATAAGATATTTAATTAAATAAATAATAATATAAAGGTTTTTTAAGAATTAATGCCCAAATATTACCACTACAAATCGATTATTTTACATTTATTGAATAACTAAAGCGAAGACTATTATGTTACTACACAAAATTTCAATTACAATTCACAAGTGATTATTAAATTAAGTATATTTAAATATTTATTGTTATTGCATTTCATCCGTTTTTAAGATTTCTTGTAAAGTCCCAAAGAGTCGTGACAAAACGACCAAACATAAAGCATTGTACGTGTTTTGTAACGTCTACACTGTTGCTCGATACCCCCAAAGCAGGTTAGTTTATGAACAAATGGATCATGAAAGTTCGTTACCTCAGTTCCCTCCAATTCCAAAAATCTCTTCACCATCACCAACAACCTTACCCACATTTTAAATCCTTTACTTTCTCTTCTCAACATTTCCGAACCTCAGCTGAGTTAACCCACGGCTCAAAATCCAACCCTTTTTTAAGCTCAACCCAAGAGCCTAATTTCACACCCATCTCTGTTCCCTACTACTCTAAGCTCTTATCAAAATGCAATGCCACCAAGAACCCATCTCCAGGCATGCAAATCCATGCCAATATAATCAAATTTGGGTCGACCAAAGACCCTAAAAGTAGGAATCTTTTGATCAGCTTGTATGCAAAATGTAAACTTTTTGGCTATGCCAGGAAACTGGTTGATGAAAGTCCTGAACCGGACTTGGTTTCTTGGTCTGCTTTGATTTCTGGGTATGCCCAAAATGGGTTTGGTAAAGAAGCAATTTTGGCTTTTTATGAGATGCATTTGTTGGGTGTTAGGTGCAATGACTTCACATTTCCAAGTGTGCTAAAAGCTTGTACTTTTACGAGGGATTTAGACTTAGGGAGACAGATTCATGGGGTTGTTGTAGTTACTGGGTTTGAGTCTGATGAATATGTTGCTAATAGTTTGGTTGTTATGTACGCAAAATGCGGGGAGTTTGGTGATTCGAGGAGTCTCTTTGAGGATATGCCTGAAAGGAGTGTTGTTTCGTGGAATGCATTACTCTCTTGTTATGTACAGAGTGATTACCGTGGAGAGGCAGTGGAGTTATTTCATGAAATGGTTTCGAGTGGAATAAAACCTAATGAATTTAGTTTGTCTAGCATGATAAATGCTTGCACAGGGTTGGAGGATAGTGCTCAAGGAAGGAAAATTCAGGGGTTCTTGATAAAGCTTGGTTATGATTCGGATCCTTTCTCGAAGAATGCACTTGTGGACATGTGTGCAAAGTTAGGAAATCTTGAGGATGCTGTTCTCGTTTTTGAGGAGATTGCAAGACCTGACATTGTTTCTTGGAATGCTGTAATTGCTGGTTGTGTTCTTCATGAAAACCATGATTGGGCTTTAGAACTTTTTGGGCAAATGAGAAGATCTGGAACACATCCAAATATGTTTACCTTGTCGAGTGCTCTAAAAGCCTGCGGTGGGACTGGGCTCAAAAAATTGGGCAGACAGTTGCACTGTAACTTGATAAAGATAAATGTAGGATCAGATCCTTTTGTGGATGTTGGACTTATAGATATGTATTCCAAATGTTATTTGATTGATGACGCGAGAATGGTTTTTAATTTGATGCCAGATAAGGACTTGATTGCCTGGAATGCTGTTATCTCTGGGCATTCTCAAAATGGGGAAGACATGGAAGCTGTATCACTATTTCCTCTGATGTATAAGGAGGGTATAGGATTCAATCAGACAACTTTATCAACAGTCCTCAAATCCATCGCCAGCTTGCAGGCTAACAATGTTTGCAAACAAGTTCATGCACTCTCTGTAAAGTCAGGATTTGAGTCTGACAATTATGTTGTAAATAGCCTTATCGATGCATATGGAAAATGTGCCCTTCTAGAAGATGCAACAAGAATATTCAGAGAGTGCTTGATTGTAGATTTGGTGGCTTTCACATCTATGATCACAGCTTATGCTCAATCTGGACAAGGTGAAGAAGCTCTTAAGCTGTATTTAGAAATGCTAGATACAGGGATAGAGCCGGATCCATTTGTTTGTAGTTCACTCCTGAATGCATGTGCAAATCTATCAGCATATGAACAGGGGAAACAAGTACATGTTCACATCTTGAAGTTTGGATTTATGTCTGATATCTTTGCTGGAAATTCTCTCGTCAATATGTATGCCAAATGTGGAAGCATAGATGATGCAGACGGTGTGTTCTCTAAGATTCCTGAGAGAGGAATAGTCTCATGGTCCTCAATGATTGGAGGACTTGCTCAACATGGACATGGGAAAGAAGCCCTGCAGCTATTCAATCAGATGCTTAAATATGGTGTTTCTCCCAATCAGATAACTTTGGTCAGTGTCCTTTGTGCTTGTAATCATGCAGGCTTGATTACTGAAGCCAAACGATACTTTGGATCAATGAGAGAGTTGTTTGGATTTGAACCTATGCAAGAGCATTATGCTTGCATGATTGACCTCCTTGGCCGAGCAGGGAGATTAGATGAGGCAATGGAACTAGTAAATACAATGCCTTTTCAGGCGGATGCCTCAGTTTGGGGTGCACTTCTTGGTGCTGCTAGAATCCATAAGAATGTTGAGCTTGGCCAACTTGCCGCAGAGATGCTTTTTACTCTTGAACCAGAGAAATCCGGTACCCATGTTCTTCTTGCTAACATTTATGCATCAGTTGGCATGTGGGAGAATGTAGCAAAGGTGAGAAGACTCATGAAAGACTGCAACGTGAAGAAAGAGCCTGGGATAAGTTGGATTGAGGTCAAAGACAAGATACACACTTTCATAGTGGGGGACAGAAGCCATGCTAGAAGTGAGGAAATCTATGCAAAGCTTGATGAGCTAAGTGAGCCTTTGAACAAAGCTGGTTATGCTCCCATGGTAGAGTTTGATCTTCATGATGTGGAACGTGGTGAAAAGGAGGAACTTTTATACCACCACAGTGAAAAACTTGCAGTAGCCTTTGGATTGATTGCCACGCCACCTGGAGCTCCAATTAGAGTGAAAAAGAACCTCAGAGTCTGCGTTGATTGCCATACCGCATTCAAGTTCATTAGTAAAATTGCCTCCAGGGAAATTATCGTGAGAGACATCAACAGATACCACCATTTTAAAGATGGTTCATGTTCTTGTGGGGATTACTGGTGATAATTTAGGGAGAAACGCAACTCATACAAGACATTATGTACACTTCCCCAACAACCATACCATACCGCTACAATATCAAGCCAGTCCAAAGCCTATCATAAACCTTTCTTTTCTTAACTTCAACAATATTCTTGTCCCTTTGTGCTTCTTTTTTTTTTTTTTTTGTATCACGTCAGGCATGTTGGCTTAAATCCATTCTTTTCTGATAAATGAAAGTTGTTTAATTTGATTCCATCACGCTATGTTAGATTGCCCTTCAAATTGGTTGCTTATCTCATGCCTATCCAGTTATGTTAAAAGGGCTCTCTTACGCATTTATGAAAGGAAACTATTCTCCATTCATAGACAAAACAAGATATGATTAAAGGTGATATTTGCGCGGTTCACACTAGTAATTGTGGCAGTCAAACATCTCGCATTCAGTTAGAATTGGCTTGGGAGTATATGTGCTGACAGTCTTCCATCATACCGATGAGCTAGCAAGCAAAGCACCCACTGTTAATTTCCCTGGCAAAAGTAAGACGGGGGACGGCTGATGTACTGAAGGATTCAATACTAACAAGAGAAAAGGTGGAAGGAAGCCTTTGGTTCCCTACAAACACAATTGAGAAGAATGGCCTCGTGCCATCTATTCGAGGTAATTTCCAATAAATGGTGTACATGATCAGATTTACAGCAGTAAAAATAATGTGTATTCCTCATCTGATTTTCTCACATCAGCATCATGCTTTCTTCTGACATTATTGTTAACAATGAGTACTTAGCTTTGATTGAGATTCTGCCACCTTCTACAGAAAGTTTGGCTCCAGTAACCACCCAATATCCAGGTAGGTCCTCAGGCCCCCTAACCATCTCCTTTGTATCTACGAAGTTTGCCATTTTTGGTGCTTTAGTTGGTGAAGGTGGACCTCCTGGAAAAACTGCTGAATTTAAATCCACTTTGACTGGCTTCTCAGGAGGATTCAGTCCTGAACTGAACCTTGTGCTAATCAACATTGAGAAGACTCCTGATTTCCGTGACAATGTTGAGGGTCCATCCCATTCTGATCTACGGATCCTAGTGAAGGCCACCATAGAGAATCCAAGCCTCAGGAACAGAACTTTCTTCATCCCAACAGCCTTCACCTCAAACCAAGCCTTGGTCACAATGGAAGCAGTATCATCAAAGCGGGATCCTTTGTGTTCTACAGGAGCAGTGCATACATGTGAGAATATGCTCCACTTGACAGGTTCAAGATACCCACGTTCTGGCTCCTCACTAGGCTCATAACTGTGATCATCTAAGAGCTGGAGGATTGTAGGAAGACTCGAGAGATGCTGTAGATGGATTGCCAGATGATCACTCTTCTTACCCTCCAAATACAAGCGGATTCCTGTCACAGGTCGATTTCCAGTATCAACCTGCAATTGGTGGATTTGAGAACAGGTTGGAATTAGGAACTTGGTCAAATGAGAATGGTAATCACATGGATGAGTTCTAGTGGAACAAGTTCAACACTATACAGTAAATTCAAGATACATTTTAATATTTTTCATCATGACAATATTTCCTAAAATAAGATGTGAAGATAGTGCCACATTGTTTTCTGAGGGATTAACTTTTATTTTGACATCCTAATTTGCGCCCCATTTTAATGTTACAGTTGGTATATAAGGACACCATTCTATTCATATTACCAGTTCTCAAAGCAAGACTTTATCAGCATGTACGATAGCTTAGGCTACAGATTGAATAAAATGAGAAGTTAATTAACAATCTAATATCAATAGTGCATGTAGAAATGTAAAGATTTTTATTCATAGCTAAGCAAACAGAGTAACTTCAGTTTGCCATGGAGTGAGTGTGGATTTGACAAGAAATATAAATAGATGCACTCATCAAGCCGTAGACACTATCATTTTAAGTATCAATTATCAAGGCACTTTGCCTAAACCCTAAGCAGCAAGCAATCATTAATAACTGAAATTGTAAAAATAAGTGGCACAAGTATTATTGTGCGCTGCAATACATTACCCGCGAGGTATTAACATAAAGCTTAGGCCCCATAAATGTGAACTGAAGTGATGGGGATCCTTGTTTTCTGCGCTTGAGACTGAGAGGCAGATCACCGAATACAGGAGCCCATTGTCGAAACAATTGAAATTCTAGAAATACATGGAGTTCCTCTATTGGTGGTTTATCTGCATGATATTACTCATTGTTAGAGGCCAAAGTCAGAGCTCACATATGCGGCAAAGAAGGATATGGTAAATGGTTTACACACTTTACAATGATCTTTCAGATACACATACATTCGCTCAAATGAAACATCCCAGCAACCAGATTTAATGTTATAATGTGTTTGATCATTTGCCATGTCTTGCAGATTTTCTAGGAGTATAAATAATCCTATCTCCCACAACAGTCATAGGAAGTAAACATGCCAAAGTATGAATAAATGGTAGTTCAACATTAATAATTACATTACATATAAATTGTGAATGAGCTAATTAATGATTCAACAGATGGGAAAATCTGGTTTATAAAAACCGAGTCATATTCAAGGATTTGGATTTGCTTTAATAGGAGCTATTTTCATTGCAATCACCCTTATATAATACACACCTAGACATTTAGCCATGAAAGACCAAACTGACAGTATAACAATATGCACACTCACATCGTAGGTACAAGTTCACTGCATGGCTTAAAAATCCATTGCCCCGAGCACCACCTAATAGGGAAGTAATCGGCACAAAGGACATTGATATAACATTTGGTGACTGTGATATAGTTGAAAGCCACTGGCTATGGCTTTGACCAAAATCAATGCCTCCCCTTCGAATATAAATGTTCAAAATATCCTGCAAAAACGAAAAGTACAACAATCAAACGAAAGAGTCACCTCTACTGAAAGCAGGTTGCTTCTTAGTGGGTGCAGTTCTGAAACAGCTGCTAAAATAGACATCAAGAAACTTACATTATTCTTTGAGCAAGTAACAACAGGTGGCCTAATTGGTGCAGCAAGCACCCCTTCCTGGTCCCAGGGCATATAATGTTCTTCCTGAAGCAATATATAGAAACAAGGTTGGAAATGTGTATTTCCCAAGCATTGCTGACAATACTCTATCATGAACTCATATATAGATAAGGTTAAACGATACTAATTACTTTGAATTGCAATCCTTCTATCATCTATATCACATTATCACTACTTTCCTTACTTCTTGGCTCTTGCCAAGGTAATCCTAAAGATACACTGCCAAGTGAACATTCTGCAATTTATCTAAAAACTGTAGCTTTGCCTACCCTAGAACGCAAAAAGAACAGACCAACATGCATGTGCACTTCAACTATATTTTTCATACTAAATGTACCTTTGGTTTTCCTGAATATTCAGGAATGTTTACACCTTCTGAAAACCTCTCATCAGCTAATTGCTTTAAATTTTTCTGTACTTCATTGGGCGGAAGATTTGAATTTTGCAATTGCTTTACGTGTATAACATCTTTACCTCCCATTTTAACCCCAACAACAATGTGCGTACCATATTTTTCAATAAACCTGAAAAAACAAAATTGATTTAGCACTGATTTAGTTAATAAAATCAATTCTAAGACAAACAATTAACCCCAATGGGATCACTAAACTTGTAAGTAATACTTTTTCACATGTTAAAATTAGAATAAAATGGAGTGCAATTTCATTGAAAAGTAAGAAACCATAAATTCAAACAAGTCTTTTAACTCCAAAACAAGCCCTACTTCTGTATACAGAACTTACTCAGCAAGGGCAGCAGGGTCCCATGTAGTTGGCACCTCTCGTTTCACACGCTCAGACAAAGTTAAGTGAGTTCTTTCCAACTCAACATTGTACAGTGTTATGAACCAACCATCCAAAGCAAGAGTTTTTGTAGAGGTGGCATCCTTCTGCCAGGAGCCCTTGAACTCAAACATGGCATTGAATAAGCCCACAGGAATCTTGCCAGATAATGATAAATCCTGGTTAAACCTTTCCGACATCTAGCACAAAATGACCACAAGTTAAATTCACAGAAAACAACAAATCCATCAAGCAAAGACTAAAGAAAACACTCAGTCCCGGTGCTTATTCAGTTTTGTTTTTCTGTTTCTATTCTTGAAGCACACGCTTAGCATTTTGTTAATTTTTTATACTAGTAAAAGCAGTGAGTGAACAAGATAAATCGCAAAACGACTTCCAAAGAACAAAAATGGGCGAGAACCAGCAAAAACAGAACAGAGAAAAGATATACAAAAAAGAGCTCTCTTGAAAACTGTTTCATAAGACAGCAAATGATACCTTTCTAAAATTAATTATAAAAAAATTAAGAAGAAAAAAAAGGACTTTTGCAACTTGGAACTTGGCAAGATTTTCTTTGCCAATCTGCATTCTCTGCACAAGCCGGTTCTGTGTTCTCATAAAAAGATATTGAAGCATAATCAAAATTTGCCAAAATCCCATCTATTTCAATTCCATTTGAAGTCACCAGGGTCATATGATGCAACCAAAGTCATTTACAGATTCTTCACCAAACAAAATACAAACCCAAAGAGGTAAAAGGTAGAACTTCCCAGTAAGTCTCAAATATAGTTCTTTCCCTCTTTAGAAAGAGAAGAGGGGGAGGGAGGTACTCGTAGCGTTTTTTAAACCAATTCCAAACATGGAAACTAAACACAAATAAAACATAAACAAAAACTTACCTGATTGAAAGAAAGAACATCAGAGCGAAACCTGGTACGCTCGCCTTTATCACATTTAATCGAATTGGGCACACTTTTAACAACAACCCCACCAGGAAAAACCACGTCCCGACTCCCTGCCGAGTCAACCTCGATCAATCTCGACCCCGAATGGCCCGGCCTGCAAGCCGATAGCCTGATATCGTTGGACAAGTCGTACCCGAACCCGATCACCGAAACCGCCTTTTCCGCCGCCGATTGCGGGTCCATTTTATAGGGGTAGGCAGCCATCGGTTCCTGGTCAGACGATGGCTGGAGTTTCGTGACGTTTTACTGAAACTGAGTTCGGATTGTGGGGCGTTAGTCCACTGCTGAGGAAGGAGACGACCCATTGAAGAGGTCTTCGGTCCGAGTAATTCTTTGAATTTTTTAATTTGAAAAAAAAAAATTAGTTGCATAATTAATTTGGAAAGGCCCAAAAAAAAAAAAGAACCATTTTATGTGTCTGATAGGTAACTCACCGAAAGTGACATCGGAGACTCTGACATTTGAATTCAGACAAATTGCTAGTGTAAACATGGCAACTCAACAGGCGGCTGGCGTCTGTCCGAATCTTCCTATATGTCTGCCACGTGGAGACGTGTTTGGAATAGTTCGGCTTTCACCCCTTCGATATTTTTGCTCTGTTTGACAATATTTTTGTTTCCAAGTACTGTTTTGTAATTTGCCGAATTTAAATCACAGAACAAATATCATACGACTAATTTTTTGTCTTTGTAATTTCTATATTAATAAAATATAAAAAAAATACAAACACGGAAAAGTCAAACTTAGAGTGAAGTCAAAGAATCGGAGCAATTTCGGCACCGTGGTGAGTCACGACGATGCGTCCGATGGCGCTTTCAATTTGAGTGTAGTTTACAACAAAGAGCGTTTCTGACACTCTTTCAATTTCAATTATAATAATTTGAAAGACTCTATTCATCAAGGCTTTCTGTCTTCAGCTTTCTTCGCTTCCTCTGTTTTACCAAAGCTCAGTATTTGGCTTTGTTTTATGTTGACTTGTTCGTATATTTCATAATATCAGTGTGCAGATGGCCCATCCTGGTCTAAAACAACTCGCTCATTATCTAAAGCAAATTTGACACTTTTCCATTTTACATTGGATTAGGTTTTTGGATTACAGTTTCCGCTGGCGCATGGCCAGAGATTTTGAGTTACCAACCCTGCGTAATCTAGTTCAATGATTTGACTAGTGTTCCGTTTATATATGATTTTATATTTAATTAAATTTTTATAATTTTATTTTATATTAAATAAATTTTTATAATTAATTATTATATATTAAAATATAATTTATTAATTTATATTTACGTTCACATAACTTTTAAAAATAAAAATATTATACAGTCATGTTATCATGTAGTATTATAATATTACATCATCATCATCATTATAACATGTCACATGATATAAAATAATAAATAATATTTTAATTAATAATAATTATTAATTAATTAATTATAAAAAATTATTTCGTTTATAAATATAGAAAAGATTTGATTAAACGTAATAAAAAATAAAATTTTATTTGAATTTTGAAAATAATTTTAAATATTTTTAAGGTATTATTTCTAAACAAATTTAAAAATTGATGCCTTTAATAAAGAAAGACAAATAATTGTACAATTTTATTTTGAAGAATTTTTTAATTTTACCTTTGATAATATATGAATATTATATATTTATAATAGATAATGAATCAAATATAATCCGGTTTATATATGGCGTTATGTTGTGCTTAAACTTTATGCCCAAGAATTGGGCTTGGGTTTTGAAAAACGAGCTTGAAGAAACCCAAAAGGGTGGAGCTATAACAAACTAACAAGTACATCCGTTCAAAGTTTTAAAGCCAATTCATGACAGGGCCGAGAATGAGCTCACCAGAAGCTTTTGGTCCACAAACTGGACCTTACTTATCTTAGCCCAATTGCTTTAATGAACTCCCTCGCTCTTTATTGTTATTGGCTTGTACGACAAGGATCAAACTGTTGATGCTGATGGTTTTAGTCTTTGGCCAGTTATCTCCCCATTATTTTTGACTTGTTGAAGGTCCCTGCAACTGCAGGGACTTGGTCACGACACTAACCTTCAAAGTCTTAAACAAAGGCAATTTCCAAACAATCTTAATGGATAATTTTGTTTTAGCAGGTCAAACACTATTCATGATTTGTATTTATTATTATTATTATATATATATATATGGTGCCGACAGCTCACCCTTCCAACCCCAAGAAATTTTCTGAGAAACTGCTTATGTTCTTTAGATCTTGGTAGGTTTTAAGATTAACAAGCTAGAAACCAGAAAGTCAAGAAGAAAAGCGGCACGTAGCTTCCATGAACATAACGCATACATGTCAGCAGTTCGAAATTCAGCGTTGAGTCCGTGTAGAATTTCTGTGGTCTGGACTTAATTTCCAGTTCCAGCCCATGCTTACACCATGGCGTTTGACGATTTTACCTTTCAAAACCAGTTTGGGTCATTTTATGTGGGAGCAAAAGTATTAGAACATCAAATTGAAAAATTGAAAAATTTAAAAATTAGTTTCAAGACGTGTATTAATATTATTATCTTTAAAGTTTTATTTACCTTTATTTATAGTATGCAAAAAAGTTATCAACGTATAAATCTCGAAGATATAATGAAGTTCAAAGATTGATGACGTTTTATACTGACGAAATCAATCCACTGAACACTCACTGGAGTATAACAAGATTATTAAACTTTTATAATTTTTTTAACAGAAAAATAATATAAAATAAAACTTGAAAGAAGTTTGAGAAAGAAAAATGTGAGATATTAATGTTTTTCCGATGCACGTTGAATAGAGAGAATTCTCTTTTATAGGCATAGATGTTTTGTTCTCAACAAATGCTGTTTATATCTTTCAAAGAGTTGTTTCTGTTAATTTTTTTTTAACAAACGTGATTATTTTTATTTTTATTTAATTTTATTTATTTATTTATTTTTAATAGATATAATCTTTATTTTGATTTTAATTTTCAACAGTAATAATTTTCTTTATATTTTGATATAAAATTATATCTTTTATTTTGAAATGTCAAACAAAAAGAAATGAAATTCAAGTTGCAAACGTTAGCAGCCTTAGCTGAGGAAACCCCCAAGCAAATGTGCAGCATAATAAGTGCGCATCTACGCCGAACAAAACAAAATGAAACAAACAAATGTACAACTGTTCCCATTTCCAGACATTACAGCATCCAGCAAATAAAGGAACATCTCTCTGCTTATAATTCTATATACTATTATGTCATATAACATTTATGGACAAACTTCGACTTAGACCAGGACTCATCTCTTTGTTTTCTACCCGTGACAGATAGGTAAAGGTAAAAAAAGACAGGATGATCAATCTTATACCAATGGAGTTTGAAAGAAAGATTTGAAGAAACATGGAATTTTAATATTGGTAAAAGTCAAAAAAAAAAAAAGGTTTTAACCTTCCTTGGGTGAATTCTTTTCTTCCCTTGGAATCAAGATATAAGACAAGCAAAGGTGAGAAATCTAATGAATTTGAACACGAGACTTTCAACAACCCTAATTGCTTCTAGATTTTCTTTAAAAGAAAAAAAAAAACATTTTGTTCATGGGAGATGCTTCTAGATCCTCAATCAATCACAACTGGAATGCTAAGCTCTGATGCTCTAGCTTCATTGTAGCGTAGCTTGGCCTTGTTGACAATGGTACCACATTCTTTTGTTGACATTACAGGCACCAAAATATTGAGCAATTCCATGGTCCCGATTCTTTCCTTTGACAAAATGACCCCATACTGGGAAGAACGTCACACAGTTTTTGTTTTGTTTTACCTTGGAGTCCAAGCAAAAATTTAACATCCCAAAACAGGCCGGAAACTAGTTTGATGGTCAACACGCATAAATGGGGGATCAGTGTCATGAACCCAACCCAAAATGTAAGCAAAATCTTATATTTGACTTTTGCACGTAATGGCCACAACCCGCAGGCAGTTCCCACTCCCCATTCATACAAGCCTTCACATTTCATTGACTTTGGAATTACTGACCCTACAAAAAAACAAGAAATAAAAAAAAAAAACAGAAAGAGAAGTTTCATTAAAAAGACACGGGAAAACAGACACATGTCTGTGTCCCCATCAGTGCAGTTTACTTCACTGCGCCCCTTACTCATTATTGAAGAAGAAAATAACAATATATTTGGGTTAACAAATTAACGTTAGAAGTAGTTATTAATGAATACTCTTAAAGACGGATATTTTTCGTGTGTAGAAATAATTTTACAGAAAGATTGCTCTATTGAAGATATATATATTTTCATTTAATGCAAATATTTCTTAGCATCTTAACAGAGAAAAGAGATTAAGGAGAAATGGAAGTGGCCCATGGAAAAGAGACAAAGCGAGCTGCTGCTATGGTGGCCAACACAGTGCTGAATCAGCAGATTGGGAAGACTTGAAATTCAGCCACAAGAAAAGAGAGGCCAAGGCTGGACTACAAACTTACAGGTGCCACCTGTTCGAGTCAACGTGTTTCATGCTTTTCATGGTGGCCTGTGTGCCAATATATCTCTTATCTTATTCTGTTCCCACCTCTCCCACCTGCTCCTTGCCACGTAACCAACACCCCTAGCCTTTGCCCATTGCGCACCCTTCCAAATTATTTTCAGTGTTCCTTAGACAAATCTCTTCCTTTCTTTGTACCAACGCCCACAAATACAATGATTGATTTAGATTTTTTACAATAAAAAAGTGTCTTGATCAATTTAAAAATTTCACATTAAAAATAAATAAAATAAGTTTTAAATTTATCAAAAAGAGTTTTACCTTACCTAATAAATATATTTTTAAATTAAAAATATAAACCTATAACAAATAATATATGAAGTTATTTAATTCTTCACGTAAGACTTTTATAACAAATATCAAAATTGAAATAAGTCTGATTGAGATGTAGTGCAATGAAAACATTTTATAATTAAGTTATGATAAATGTCACATCTTTTGTATTTTAAAAAAATGAGATAAATATTAAATTTATAAATAAATATTTTTTTATTTAATTGAAAATGCTGTCCCCTAATTCAAATGTACAGTTTCAAAGATGGGTGGATTTTAATGTCATGTGTCGGATTTGCTTTTTTTGGTTTGTTTTTGTCAACAATTTGAACCTGACAGGGGCTGTTGTGGTAATGGAAATCACGTAATAGTTTTTCATACAAGGAAAATGAAATGTTAGAAACAGTAGTAGTGAGCTTATTATAAAGAGATAGACTGAAAAGTGTGGGAGATTTTGGAGAGAGTATAAATTTCAAAGTCAATCAAGTCAATCGGGGGACGCGGGTGCGGGTGTGGGCGTGGGCCCAAACTTTCTGCCGAACAGCCGGCAGCGGAATTTCG